GGTTTTAAAAAGTAAGTTGAAACTATGCCCAGGCTCCTTAAGAGTAAAACCAGGCACAATTAAAATAGTACATATTTTTCAATTATTTTTGTTAAAAGTGACATATATATAGGTCCTTGTGATTGAATATTAATTGTATTGAATGTTTCTTATTGTATTATGACACATGCCACTAAAATGAATGACTTATTTACTTACTAATAGTGGTATTGGTTAGTTATGCACCAAAGTAGCATAATTAATACTAGTCAAGACATACTTTGAATGGTGGGGGCCCAAGGGACAAGCCCCTGGAAGCTCCCGGGTTTTCGTGTATTTAAAAGAGTAATACCAGGCACAATAACAGTAGTTTTGGTTAGTTATGTACCAAAATGTGGCATTTTTTATATAAGTCATATCATACTTTAAAAATTTTAGGGGGGGGGCACACATCCCCCCATTTAAATCCGCCAGTGAATATGAATGGTTCTTTTTCAGATATGGCTGCAATGTGGAAATAAAAATGGCCACTGTCACCAGCCAGGCACAGGAACTCATAACCTGTGACCTTTGTGTCAAACCTGTCCAGCAATTCTGTAACAGCTGCCAAGTCGGTCTGTGTGAACACTGCATCAACAAACATGTCAACAGCCTCAAGTTCATGAAGCATGACATTGTTCCTTTCACAAAGCGTACAGTACAACTTGTGTTCCATCAGTGTACATCTCATTCCCACCAGAGATGTGAGGCCCACTGTCAACAGTGTGATGTCCCGGTCTGCATTAAATGTCTTTCAGGACCCATTCATAAAGGTCATGACATTCTGGACATGGCAGACATTATTGCTGCTAGGAGGGAAAAAATTAAAAGAGAAACAGAAGAAATTGAGGTTATTATTCCAAAGAACATGGCACAGGACAAAAGCACTGAAAATAACATCTCAAAATTCATGGCCCATTATACAGATTTACAGAAACAGATCAAAGATCAAAGAAAACAATGGCACCATGAGGTGGACAACATTTTTAACAAAATGGAATCCCTGATCCAGTCACTCAGAGATCATCATATTACAACTCTAAAGTCATGTCAGTCCAAACTTAGAAGTCAGAATTCCAGTATGATCAAAACTGTTCAAGAAAACAAAGAAATCCTGAAGTCCAACAAAGTGTCTGATGTCAACAACTACCAATCCAAACTGAAGGAATACAGAAACATTCCACAAATACCTGATTTACCATTGCCCTCTCTTCAAACAAACACAGTCCAAGGGAGAGAACTCAGCATAGAATTAGGAGAATATAAGGCTACACTGACACAGACATCACTATCCAGTCTGACAGATGAAGTCTCCTTTTTATCTGTTAAGGAATTATTAGAAGCCAAAGTGATTGCAACCATTCCAACTCATGTTAGAAAATTAGGTAGAGTGGCCTGTGTAGGATCAGATAAAGCTTGGATTAGTGGTAGAGACAAAATGATAACCTGTGTGGACATACATGGAGCTGTACAAGACACTGTCACCAGTACATGTAAGAATTTCCCTAATGACATTACAGTGACCAGACAGGGAGAACTGATATACAGTGATATAAACAAAAGCAAAGTGAAGATTGTCAGAGATGGGAAGACAGACACTGATCACCACACCAAGGGGCTGGCATCCAGATGGACTGTGCTGTACCAGGTCAGGGGACATCCTAGTTAGTATGGATACTACTGATGGTAGTCATTATAAAATAGTCCGTTATCAGGGACAGAGAGTGACACAGGAAATAGAGAAAGATGAACATGGCAATCCAATCTATCAGGGAGGAAAATACGGTGTGTATGTGGTGGAGAACAACAATGGAGACATAGTGGCCTCTGATCTTAATGCAAGAGTAGTGGTAGCGGTGGATAGGACAGGAAAAGTCAGATTCAGATACAACAACAAACCTCCAGGGGGAAAGAAATCATTCTCTCCAAGACAAATAGAGACAGACTCCAGGGGTCACATCATTGTGACTGATAAATTCAATGACTGTCTACACATCCTAGATCAGAATGGACAGTTCCTGAGATGTGTGGATAACTTTGGACTAGGTGTACCTAATGGACTGAGTGTGGACAGTGAGGGGAGGTTGTGGGTAGGGTTGTTTGATTCTGGGGAAGTAAAAGTCATCCAGTACATGAAATAAACATCACCTGTATACTGTGAAATATGTGAACCATTACTAAGTTCAGTATATGAAATAATCATTTAAACACATATCAAATAATTTTTCATTTTTTGTGAACCTTTGTAAACTTAAGTACTGAATTTGAAAAACATCGATTTGTCAATCCATTGTTCCATATGAAAGAAAGAAAAACAAGCAAAATCTTTTTAACGAGAAACTTTTATTGAATACAATTTGTTCTCTTCAAGAAAGCTTTGTTTTATGGGTTTTCTGTAATTATGGTTATTCTTCTCATTCCTTAAGTATTTATAGTAACAATGTGCTGTCCAAATCTACTTCAACATCAATAATTATTTTCTCAAGATGTCTGCAGAGATTGAGTTTGGGAATAGATCATGCCCCTGAACAAGAAATTCTTTGTATATTAAAGAAGGATATTTTTTCTCAGGGCAATGAATCTTGATCTATGAAAAGTATAAAATTATTTTAACATTTTTACACTAAAAACTCTAAAAGGTGTTAAAAGTCAAATAAATGTAATGATACATGTACATGCATTAATGAGATTTTTTTTAAAAAACATACTGTAGACGTAGTTTTTTCCTCAGGGTCATAATTTCACAGAATCTCATTTTCCGTTTAATCAGAGGGTTGAAAATTAGGCAGGTTTCTCAGACTGTCACTATATGCCTTGCATTTTTATTAAGATGCTTGGACAAATTTCCACGGAAAATGTGTCACCGCATACATAGCGTAAATTAATATTACGCGGAAAAAAGTACTTCTACAGTAACAAAGAAAATGCTGTACATATATAACCAGATAAAAGTATCTTTAAACATTTTTTAACCGATTTCATTATAATTAAGCTATCATAAATAAGAAAATATCTTAAAAGATACAGTGCATTTAAAAGTGTAATGATAATCTAATAGAAACAAATTTCTTCATGGATTTGCATAAAACTTGGTAGGAAGACACATGCACACATATATATCACAGCAATTTTTTACGTGGAAATGCACACATCTGTACAATAGACTTATAGTTCTCTCGTAAAATAAGGGAATAAATTACAAAATACAGTTCAGAGTGTACAATTATTGAAAATATCATCAGAACTTGCTATCAGGCTGGGAATTCATTGTAATTATTTGTTTCAAATGAAATCTCTCAGCAATTCTCAAACTGGGTGGAGTACTGTAAAGATTTAACTGTTTAATATAGTGTGTTTATAACTTCAAGGCATTTTTTATACCAAGAAATCTATTTATGTAAATGTTTTTGAATACAGATGCACTAATAAATAATTTCCCTTCAAGTTCTTTTTTAAGTCAAACATAATTACTGTGTAATATATTTTTCTTTATCAGATTTGATGTTTTAGATGTTTCATTATTAAGAACTGAACTATATACAGAAGAATTAACCCTCAAAACCTAGAACACTTCAAAGGCTAATGCTCAAGTCAAACAACCAAACCTTATCATGAATTCAAATTTACACATAATTAACTCAAACTCTTAGATTTCTGGTCTCATTTGACATCTGACTGTATAACAATGTGTTGGAAGAAGAAAATTAAAAAAATCACAGCAAACACTCATTCACACATTAATAAAATTCATCTATAAACAGTTCAACAAGTTGAAAAAAATTATTCATGAAAAATATATTGGGATGAAGTACTGGCTCTTAATTGTGTCATAAAACAAATAACTCATAACATAATATGATTAAAAAGTATCAATCACTAAATCAAAATCACCTCTATTTCTGTGAAAATTGTCCATGTCATTATCATTCATTGCACTTAAAAAATTCAATGCATGGACTTACATGAATTTGAGGAATATCAAAACATAGAGTTGTCTTAAATTCAATGAATGACTGTAAACCAACTTTAATCGTGAAGACTTTATTTCATGATTTATTAGGGATAAACTTGTTCGTGACAATTAATTTTTCCGATCAAGCCTTGTTGGATTTGTTGTTATTAGACACATACACTTTAAGGGTACTTACCACAAACAAAAAATGGATGCGCGGGTTGATATATGTTTTTTGACTAATTTTGATTTGAAATGACATAAATAATAAATCCCTGATATATAAAGAAATCGTAGGTTTTCCTTGGTGCTTAGATATGAGATTTTGTTTTGCTTTCTATATAATTTCATACAAAATTTTGCACAATTTTTTAACCTTATGACAAAGTCTTATATAATTATCCCTCTCTACTATGTAAACATTATTCAGGTTGTCAATTTAAATGTAAATCTATGAAAAATAATGCTGATTTCTGAAAAAAAGTTTGTTTGTGTTATTTATCCTTAAGTACTGGTTTGTGGCCAGAAATATTCGCGATGATGAGATGCGAACTTTGCGAAAATTTCTCACACACGAATAAAGGTTGGATTACAGTAAATAAAGCAGAATCAGGAAATGTAACCTTAGTATTATAAGTTGTCAATCAATTTCTCCAGAAACAGAGGTAAATTTGTCACCAAGTGAGCTACAAGTTCTAATGAAAACAGACAAGGAATTAAATCTACAACTACTCTACCCAGTATCTAAGTAATATCATGGACTGGAAAACTACACTACAGACTGACTAGTAAGATTAACAAATTAATACAAAATCCATATACATGTACATCTCATGTATTCCAACATTAATGCACCAATACATAAAACAGACGTCCCACTGTTAATCATTTGATTACTGAAATATGACACATACATTGTATATAATTCAAATTAGGTCAACTTTCACATTCATTAATAAGGCATGTACCACCACCAATTGGAGTTACATGTAATATGTCTTCTCTATAACCGTTTCTTATTCTGATCATCAAATTTCAATCATGGCACACTCTCACGTATATTGTACTGAAGGGGAAAACTATATCTTTACAAAATGACATTTTTTCTCTCAGAAAATACAAAACAAGCATCCCATGAGGAGTCTTAGGATCTGAACATTCTAACAAGACCTCTAGCTCTAAGATAAATAGCTGACTTTCAGGGTTATCCTTTGAAATTTAAAGACTTTTAATACAAATGTAAGTTATGTAACAGTACCTAACACATTTCACAAATTAACAAAACAAATAAATTACTGCTAAACTATGGACAATACTATGTTAAAACTAAGCAAGGATTATAACCTTATTATGCTGTATATCAAGTAAGAAATTCTTCCCGGTGGATTTCATTTAGAAACTGACTTTAACTGACTACTCTATCAACTACAAAACATTAAAACTAAAACATTAGAACTGACTAAATCTATACTCTACATTAAAACTCTGAGCCCTATTACACCAGAGACCTACATGTATATAAACTTCACTCAGCAAAAATAAAGTTAAAAATTTAAAAGAGTCCCCTGATGTTCTTAAGCAACAACTTGTCATCAAAATTATACTGTAGATCACAAAATATTCGCGACACCTTATTTTCGGGTGATTGTCATCAACTCTTTATTAGCAAGACAAAATTTTTACCAATTGTGGTTTTTGCTCTGTATTATCTTAAGGAATGCTATTGTACGAGAGAATGAAATTTTCACGAGCAAACTGTCTCACGTAATTTTGCAAAAATGAAGTTTTCATGAGTAAAAAGTGATTTACGGTATCATTTATCTTCAGACCTCAACAATAACATTTCCTTCATCAATCCTTAAAAAACAAAAAACAAACAAACGAATAAACCATCGTCTAACATAGGCTCATAATATACACATACAATGTAAACATCTACTTGTAATTAAATTTCCACTGTCACTTTACTGCTTACAACAAACATCCATAAAAATTATAAATGCTCAAAAATAATGCCACAAAAAATAACATAAAAAACAAAATATAGTTTTAAAAACAGGTCAACAGCAATAGAAATATGGAGTGGTTGTAATGGTTATGTCATCTTAAGAGACACTGGGCATCTTAATGAAAAAAATCTTATTTAAAAAAAAACACACGGGGAAATCAATGTGATTGAGAAGGTTTTGAATCGATGTGGTATTGGCAGTCTGGAGTCATTCCTCCTCAGAGAAACGAAGCAGTGACATCATGCGGTGAAGAGTTGTACACGGTGTAGTCATGTCGACTATGGTTTTATGGAGGGTATAACAGATGTTGATAAACTGTGTGTCATGACAACCTCTCTACGAAGTGCAGAGGAAGATGAGAAGAGAGAAATGATGTCCTGGTCAGACTGTCTGAGTCCAGACACGACACGATCCTCTCCCAGCAGATTTCCTGAAGACTGGGCGTGGTCAGCCAGATCCTCTGTAAACAATTGGTTCGGACTTTGTCTATTTTGGACACGCCCCCAAACACATACATACACCCCTCCTGAAAAATTCAGTTATAATAAAACATTAAAGAATAAAACAAAGCTACAAGGTAGTGCCTCTCTACAACAGGCACTTGATTCTGTAATTAACTTTTTGACCCATAGTTTAATAACAATATAAGGTATCTTCCTCTTACTTACAAGGAGTAACCTAGGTGTCCAGTCACTTTGTACACAAACTGAGTCGTACACAAACCAACTCGTATACAAAAATCAACTCGTACACAAAAACCAGAAGTCAACTCGTACACAACGTTTATATTACAATCGTTATGATTTAATTTTATACAAAAATTAATAATGTTTGATAACACGAAGTGTTACTTTTCTTTAAGTTTTTTCCCTAAATATTAAAATAATTCAACTTCCCTGATAGGAACATCAAAGACATCAAAGAAGTATTGTTAAGGAGGCTCATTACACCACTTTTTGATGACGTACTACACAAAAAAATAAACCTCCATTGTTTCGACCGTTTCCCTCTGGGGACGATTTGTACAGGTACCTCTATAATATGACCCTGACCTTTAAAGCGCTTTAAGAATAGATGAAACATGCGGTGTTATAAACAGTGAAAACAAAGTAACGGATTCATTATGCATGGACCAAGAAGGATTGCTTTTAAGCAGAAACAAAAGAAATCAACAGCCAAATCTTCGCCAAACAAGTTTTGTGCAATTTCATAGCGATGCATGCAGTGAGCTATATCAATGACATGTTTGTATGGAGGAAATTCGAGTTTAAATCTACAACCTTATTGAAATTTAAAAAGTTATTTACTTGCACTATTTACTGTGTTGGTGTTAATATATTTGCTTTATTGATTTAAATATATACTCTGGCAATTTAAAGCTTTTTTTCTGATATTTAGATGTAATGTTCAAACGTTCCTTAGTGTTTTGAGTCTTGGCTTATTAGGAAAGATAACTCTTGAAAGTGGACCTTTTATACCAAATATTTTTTAAATTGGCATTTTCATTTCGTTTAAACATTTTTCATTCAATTTGTCACATGTAATTCATTGAAATACATTCCTTGTCTCTTCAGAACTCATTTTCTTAATGTTTTGTGCACAGATTAAAAAGATAATGATATTAATTGTTTTTTAGGAGAAAATTATTTTTTCTACTAAAATTAACATTAGGTATTATGAGATATTTTCACTGTTTGTACTTGTCTTAAGAAGATGCCCATCATTTGACACTGAAAGTTCTGAAATTCTGGTAACAATAAACTTGAAATAAAACATTTCACTAAAATTAGACAAAAGCTAAAAAATTCTCTAAAAAATATTTATGATATCAATACCTCGTTCTGGATATTTGACATCTACATAATAAGTGGTGCTGTAATGAAATCTAAAATAAACTGTGGATGTAATGAGCCACCTTAAACCAACACACGCGCAGTGGTTTCTTGAATCTGCGACAAACGCTAATTACGAGATGCTCATAATTCGGTATCCTTTAATTATGAGATACTATATGTATCGAAAAAACGTCTCGCAGAAGGATAAAACGTACGCTCAACTAGGACCTTGGGTCCCCCGCAAATACATGTAGTTACCATCTTCACTATATACATGTATCTACTTAACATAATAAATTAGGATGCTGTAAAATATTATATTCTACATCAACATGCATTACTTGCATAACAGAAAACTTTTTAGAAATATAAATCTACGTATAACAATCTTGTTGACAATTAGAAATCCATTTGAATTACGTTTTTCAACTACATATTTAACAAATAAAATATTTAAATTTACAATATAAGATTTATTTAAGATAATTACGTTTATTTAAGAATTAATTTAAGAATTAAGAATGAATTCGACAATCTTGATTTAATTAACTCAAAACACATTTGTGTACGAGTTGACTTCTCAATTATTTGGAAACTGTGGCAAATATTGCCTTAAATCACATAGGAAAACCTCTGTATGAGTTGTGTACGAGTTCACTTCTGGTTAGTGTACGAGTTGACTTTTTGTTGTGTACGAGTTGACTTTTTGTATACGAGTTGGTTTGTGTACGACTCGGTTTGTGTACGAAGTGACTGTAAATCGTAACCTATATTATATATTTTATGGTAGGGCAAGCAAAAATTCAGGTAGGCAAGTCAATTTTGGACAAGTGCCTTAAAAATCTATAAATTGTCAGCCCCTGCAATGCAATGAATCAATTTTCCTATTGGTAATTTTACACAAACTCTTCATTTGTTTAAAAATGGAAGTACAGAGACTTACACACTGTAAAGGGACCCCCTAATCTCACAGACAGATACATCACAAATTGAACTTTGTGTAGATGAGAACATTTACACAAATGAAGAATTGTTGCCATGGTTACCTGAGTGATGTCAGCCGAGTGGAAGTACACAGGAACTTGTAGAGAGGAGGGTAACTTTGTCCATGTGTATGTCTGTAGGGAGAACTTCCAAATGTCTCCAAATATTGTCTGGGTGTCAAATCCACCACATATGTACACATCTAGTAAAATAGAATCAATGTCACTTAATTGTACTTTTTAGACTCTGGAAATGTAACTATTAATATACATGTATGATGTCATGAGACTTCACTTTCTAGCCTTCTTAATGTCTTGTGCGGTTTGTTTTTTATATGAAAGGATTTTTAAAAGACCAACTTCATTTCCTTAGAATTGAATGTCAATAAAGTAGTATTTTCATTTAAGAAAACACATCAAAAAATGTAAAAATATCTGATAAAATACTGCATGTGTGTCAAATCCATCACACATGTAAACATTTGTTGTCCAGAGTTTTGATAGAATTTACAATTTAGTCAGGCTTGCATAAGATACAAGTTTTTGAGTAAAAAATTTGAATCCAGAGCTTTATAATAGGTTTTACATAACAAAAGAAATTACAAAACATCATGAACACAAAAATCAAAATTATTAATTGTAAATAATGTTAACGAAAGAAAATTCATTGCTACAAATTTTTAACAAATCTAATGTCTTTAATGCATGGCTAGTGACCTTACCTTGTTTGAACTTGACACAGCTGTGACATTTCCTAAGGGGAGGAAAACCTGTGAAAGAAATATCTAAATTCTGTCAAAGATATTCTACTTTCAGTGTCACTACTATCAAATTTCTAAATTCATCATTGTTAATTTGTAAGTCGGGCTGGGTATTGGCCTGAGATTTCGTATTGCGTTATTTGTGATATTTTTTACTGAACATATATTGCGATATGTATTGCAATATTTTTAATGTAATTTAAATGGCATTTTCTTACTATATTTATCTCAATTTACAGGCAGAATGTACATAACTATGAAAAGTAACCAACAGGGAAAAAAATCTTGTCAATTTCATTTAAGTTATGATTTGAAATACTCCCACAAAACAACTTCTGTCTAACTGTTTGGCTGAATATCAGACCTTTCATACATCCATTTTTATATTTAATGATAAAATTCCTTAATCTAAGCATATTGCCAGTATATCGATGTTTTTTGTCATTGTATTGCAATATATTGAAATATCGATATTTTTACCCAGCCCTATTTATGAGAATTCCAATATAAGGAAAATAACTACAGACCAACAATAACTATATTTCAAAGTAAAAATAAATACAAATTTTACCAAATGTAACGAAAATGAAATGTAACAAAGAATAAACAATACATTTCAATGATTATAAGATACTTGTATACATTACTTTAGCAAACTTGGAAAAATGATAAGATTACCGTGTTTAGGGTCTGGAATGGACTTGATGTTTTCCCATTTACAAGTTGGAATGTGAAATGCTGGAACCTAAGAAATACAGACTCAAAATAAGAGAGATGAAGACTTTATATATATACATGCATAGGTCAGGGTGCTGAAATTGTGACTATCAGAGTAATTTTTTACTTTTCCGTTTTCTGTTTCTTAGACTAATGTATTCAAATCCAAGAGAATGATTCAGTCTTATATAAAACAATCTAAAAGTTGTGGTATTCAAAATTAAAAGAAGGCAGATCATTCTTATGCATTCAAATCAAAAAGTAGACATATTCACATTCAAATGTGAATGATTCAAATCCAAAAGTGGATGTATCTAAATCCAAATGAGAATGCACAGATATCCAAAAGTGGACAAATTATTCTTACGTATTCAAATCCAAAAGTGGACAAATTATTCTTAAATATACAAATCCAAAAGTGGACAAATTATTCTTAAGTATTCAAATCCAAAAGTGGACAAATTATTCTTAAATATTCAAATCCAAAAGTGGACAAATTATTCTTACGCATTCAAATCCAAAAGTGGACAAATTATTTTTACGTATTCAAATCCAAAAGTGGACAAATTATTCTTACGCATTCAAATCCAAAAGTGGCCAAATTATTCTTACGTATTCAAATCCAAAAGTGGACAAACTAGAAAACTGACCAGTCAGCAAGGGCCCCGCCATGAGGTAGAATTATAAGGGTGCAGCAAAAGAAATATATGGAAACAAACTGTATTCTTAAAATTTCAAGATAATTCCCGAATGTCAAAAACCTGTAAATAATATCCTTGTATTTATTTTACATAAGGCAGTAAAGAACAATTATATCTAAATAATAGTGAAGCTTTTGTTATATAAAATGCCAGCCTTCAATGAATGCAAATACATATCATGAAGGCTTGACCTTAACTTCAAAACAAACAGCAGTTGCAGACAAAGGTTTTCATTAATCTTAAAGTGACAGATAAAGATAAGCCTTCTAAATTTTCTGCAGCAAATAATTAATCCCAAGGGATTAATTATTCTCTCATCATTTTCTTCTTAATTCATAATAAGAAAAATGATAGAATGATCGAGGTTTTTATCCAACTGCCTTAAAAATTAATAATATTCAAATTTTCAAAAGTAAATAAACAAATAAAAATAAAAAATATATCTTCTTTAATCTATTCAAGTCAATGAAATTAAAACTCATCATGTAGGCTATTTCAACAAAAATAAAGTAAAAACATTTATACTTCAATCCACATTTCATAGTGTTCATAGCATTCCAAATGGACTTAACTTCAAAACAAACTTCATTTGCAGAAGAGGTTAATTAATCTCAATGTGACAGATGAAAAGATAATGCTTTGGATTTTCTTCAAGGTAAGCTAATTAATCCAAAGGGGCTCCAAAAGTTTACAACATTTTCAGAAGTTATCTCTCAAATCCAAAAGTTCACTTATATAAAATTAGCTCCAAACCAGAGGACATAGAGAAACAAACTTAGCATCAAAATATGTCTTTTTGCCTAAACTACCATACCAAATTTGTGGGCTACCATAAAAAAAGTTATTAGGAAAAAACAGAAAATTTGTTGACAGTATTCAACAGACGGACAGACAGACAGACAGAGTGATTACTATAGGGCACCCGCAAATCCTTGCGGGGCCCTAATTATTCTTAAAAATTCAAATCCAAAAGTGGACAAATTATTCTTAAATATTCAAATCCAAAAGTGGACAAATTATTCTTACGTATTCAAATCCAAAAGTGGACAAATTATTCTTAAATATTCAAATCCAAAAGTGGACAAATTATTCTTACGTATTCAAATCCAAAAGTGGACAAATTATTCTTACGTATTCAAATCCAAAAGTGGACAAATTATTCTTAAATATTCAAATCCAAAAGTGGACAAATTATTCTTACGTATTCAAATCCAAAAGTGGACAAATTATTCTTAAATATTCAAATCCAAAAGTGGACTGATTATTCTTACGTATTCAAATCCAAAAGTGGATAAATTATTCTTACGTATTCAAATCCAGAAGTGGACAAATTATTCTTAAATATTCAAATCCAAAAGTGGACAAATTATTCTTACGTATTCAAATCCAAAAGTGGACAAATTATTCTTACGCATTCAAATCCAAAAGTGGACAAATTATTCTTACGCATTCAAATCTAAAAGTGGACAAATTATTTTTACGTATTCAAATCCAAAAGTGGACAAATTATTCTTACGCATTCAAATCCAAAAGTGGACAAATTATTCTTAAAAATTCAAATCCAAAAGTGGACATTCAAATCCAAAAGTGGACAAATTATTTTTACGTATTCAAATCCAAAAGTGGACAAATTATTCTTAAATATTCAAATCCAAAAGTGGACAAATTATTCTTACGTATTCAAATCCAAAAGTGGACAAATTATTCTTACGTATTCAAATCCAAAAGTGGACAAATTATTCTTAAATATTCAAATCCAAAAGTGGACTGATTATTCTTACATATTCAAATCCAGAAGTGGACAAATTATTCTTACGTATTCAAATCCAGAAGTGGACAAATTATTCTTAAATATTCAAATCCAAAAGTGGACAAATTATTCTTATGTATTCAAATCCAAAAGTGGACAAATTATTCTTACGTATTCAAATCCAAAAGTGGACAAATTATTCTTACGTATTCAAATCCAAAAGTGGACAAATTATTCTTATGTATTCAAATCCAAAAGTGGACAAATTATTCTTACGTATTCAAATCCAAAGGTAGATGAGGCAGTTCCTCCACCAAACACAAACAGATGGTTGTCATGGCTCGCCACCTCATGTCGGTACCTAAAAATAAACACAAATAGGCCCTCTTAAAACTTATCAAAAATCATTTATCACTTTTTAAAAACAATGTTAGGCCATATAAAATTAATCTTTAGATTCTCATTCGCCCCTCCAAAATGTTTTTTATTTTGGTATTTTCAAAGTAAGAATTTGGGTCAAAGTTTAAGAGTTATCTCCCGTCTGTAAATCGTGTCGCTATTTATAGCAAAAACGCCATGTGAAGAATGGAGAAAAATCAGCAATAAAAGCAGTTTAAATGTGTAAGGAAAAGATACTTTGTCAGTATAGAGAAGGCAGAGAAGAAAAAATAGCATAAACACATATATATACCATCACTGGCAGGAGCAAGTATGAAGAGAGATCTAAGTAACTAAGTAAAAATAGATGAGGAAAATGACACCTGGTCAAGTTATATATAACGATCTCCAGCTTTGAAATAAAAAAAATCTACAACATCGTAGACAGACTTAAGAAAAGTCTAGATTTTTCAGTAGAATAATTATTAGAACATTTATATAGATTTTGCAAAATAAGAAGTCGCGCATATACAATTTATTGGTATCCCCCCTCATTTTGTTCAGGGTGTGCCGTATAATGTGTACTTGATAATTTGTTAATTAACAATAAATATTTAACTTTTAATGCAAAAATTTTCTTTATAAATTTAAAAGAATATGAAAAGAATTAAATCTATTCATATTTGCATTCAGGTAATGAAAAAAATGTGTACGGGGCGTCCATTGTTTTGTTGATACTTAGGCCTATATATAAATAACAATTATAAAAAATAAAAAATTTATCACAATTTTTTTGCAAATTAAAAACTAAAGATTAATTTTACCTGGCCTTACTATGATTTTTAACTGGCAAAATTCAGTTGTGTTTTAAACAGTAGTTTTTATTTCTGTACAGTTACCTGCTCTCCGGAACGAAGTCAGACAGGGCAGGTAACTCCTCCCAGGTCAAGGACTGAAGGTCGAGTCTGTGAATGTGAAGGTCGTACGTGTAGCCCGATGTCCCCCCACACACGTACATGTGCTTGCCGATCTTTGTCACAGTCTGTTGATTGAATGTAAGACACTTGTATTTAACTTTTATACTGTATATGTTTATAAATTTACACATTGGCAGGTGATTAACTGTTTCAACGGCCTGATAACACCAAAGTAAACATGACCGTTCTTTTTTCTGAGTGATACTCACATGACCATATTTTTTCTGAGTGATACTCACATGCCCTTATTTTTTCTGAGTAATACTCACATGCAGAGTTCTTGAAATCTTTTGGTCCTGTCGGCAAGACCAATAAAAACAATCAAGGACCGATAACTTTACGTTCTGTGTCAATCCAAATGACCGGTAAATGTCGAGAAAGCAACTTGTGAAAATCCGACTGAATTTCGTACGAATTCCCTATAACCGACCGATCATAATCTGTTAAACGCTTTTCCGTATCTCGTGATGGAATCTTCAATGAACGCAGGTACCAAACTATGATTGATTAATTGTTTAAACAAGTTTTTTGACGGCGGTAAGGTATAAGCCAGGTGAGAAAATCGAATGAGATTAAAAACTTATAAAGAAAAACGACCTCCCATGAGAATTCAACGAAAATTGTTATACGATGATCAAATTAAATGCAGTGTGTACTGACACAGATTGCAGAATGTATTGATAATAAAATTTAAATACAGTTTTAATCTTTCTTAGTTTCTATTTAATATTTTTGTTGGACTGATAGAAATATGTCTGGACTGACAAACTTCCCGTGGCAGTCAGTCCAAATGACTGACAGCGAAAAAAAGATTTCAAGAACTCTGCACATGACCCTATTTTTACTGAGTGATACTCACATGACCCTATTTTTACTGAGTGATACTCACATGGCCCTATTTTTACTGAGTGATACTCACATGACCCTATTTTTTTCTGAGTGATACTCACATGACCCTTATTTTTACTGAGTGATACTCAGATGACCTATTTTTTCTGAGTGATACTCACATGACCCTATTTTTTATCGAGTGATACACACATGACCCTATTTTTTTCTGAGTGATACTCACATGACCCTATTTTTACTGAGTGATACTCACATGACCCTATTTTTACCGAGTGATACTCACATGACCCTATTTTTTTCTGAGTGATACTCACATGCCCGTATTTTTTCTGATTTTACTCGAATTACCTTATTTTCTGAGTGATACTCACATGCCTGTTTTTTTTTCTGAGTGATACTCACATGACCCTAATTTTCTGAGTGATACTCACATGCCCTTAATTTTTCTGAGTAATGCTCACATGACCGTGTATTTTTTTCTGAGTGATACTCACATGCCCATATTTTTTCTGTGGAGATTCTCCTGAACACTTCATGTGTCTCCACTTCAGTGTGTCCAGGTTACAGATGTTTAGCTGATTGCTGCTGTTAGAACCAAAGGGGACCCCAGTCCCTCCAAAACACAGAAGGTTCCTCCCTGCCCTCAGGACTGAAGTAAAAAAAAAACTCAGTCATATCACTGTCAGATGTTATAAGTGTTATACTTCAACTGTACAAGAAAACCTGTCACAGAAAACGCAGCTGTCTACGAATTACAGCGACATTTGTACAAACAGGATTGAAGGACAGACTCAACGTGAACAAGGTTTACATTATTTAAAAAAACAATTATATACAGTAACCTTCTTTACATGTTCATGACTTCATGTCTTGTAAACAGCAACTGAAGAACTTCTGATTTAACGAATACATGTATATATAGCAGAAATGATCCATTTAACCATACACACACAGTTAGCTGTATATTTGCCTTTAAACATAATACCTACCTGCATGTGACGCCAGCTCTATTGGCATGTTACCGTCAGTTTCTAATTTTGTCCATTCCCTTCTCGCGAAGTTGAACTTCCATAACTGTGGAGTGATATCAATAAACTTAAATGATAATATTTACATTTCCAATAAATTTCCCCTATGATTCTTTACAAAATAAAATGCAGTATATTTTCTCATGGACTACATTAGGTATGTATCATGAATAAGCATGAATATCTCCATTATTACGTCATAATACCGCTCGACGTCAAAAAGTCAAAAAATATAGTGGAGTATACGGACAAATACTGTAAATTGGCAAATAATCGCGATGGTTTTAATTTCGCTATGTTCACGATTCATCGTTTTTCCGCGAAAATAAACCCATCGTGAAAGCTATCATTAGCTATTAAAACGTTTAAATGATTGTGAGAAATTTTCTTACAGCGTGAAATTAAAACCATCGCGATTGGAACTTTTTGAGAAATCGTGAAAATTTAACACCGTGGAATTAAAACGACTTACAGTAGTTCCCATGAGCGTAGAATGAAGCAGTTATTCGGTTGAAACATGTAAACAAAAGAACTTTTATATTCATTTGTCTACCATTTACTGGTCGACAGTTGACAGGTTGATAGTTCTAAGAACTTAGCATATCTCTTTGTCAATCGTTGACAGGTCGACAGTTGACAGAAGATATGACATATTCATATTTGTCGACCATTTACAGGTCGACAGTTGACAGGTTGACAGAAGAACTTAGCATATCTCTTTGTCGACAGTTGACAGGTCGACAGTTGACAGAAGTCCTAGCACATTTATTTGTCGACCATTTACAGGTCGACAGATGACATGGTGACAGAAGAACCACCGTATACTTTTACATTTGTCGACCATTTATGACTAAACCCGAGAATCTAACTCATTACCTCTGCATTACTAGTCAGGTGCTTTAACCACTTAGTCTTCCTGATTGATATCAACGTTCCATATAGACCAAACTTCTACTGTAATGAATAGTAACGAATTTTTCCTTCATCGTCTGGCAGTAAATCTGATAACAATCTTCTATATTTATGAATTCAAAAGATAAATTAGTGTTAGCCTTGTTTCCACCTGAGAGATTCAGGTTAGCCTTGTACCCACCCGAGAGATAAGGGTTAGCCTTGTACCCACCTTGAGATTAGGGTTAGAGCCTTGTACCCACCCAAGAAAGTAAGGTTAGTCTTGTACCTACCCGAGAGATTAGGGTTAGCCTAGTACCCACCCGAGAGATTAGGGTTAGTCTTGTACCCACCCGAGAGATTAGGGTTAGCCTTGTACCCACCCGAGAGATTAGGGTTAGTCTTGTACCCACCCGAGAGATTAGGGTTAGTCTTGTACCCAACCGAGAGATTGGGGTTAGCCTTGTACCCACCCGAGAAAGTAAGGATAGTCTTGTACCCACCCGAGAGATTAGGGTTAGCCTAGTACCCACTCGAGAGATTAGGGTTAGTCTTGTACCAACCCGAGAGATTAGGGTTAGCCTTTAGACCTTGTACCCACCCGAGAGAGATTACCCACCCGAGAATTTGGGGTTAGTCTTGTACCCACCCTAGAGATTGGGGTTAGCCTTGTACCCACCCGAGAGATTGGGGTTAGCATTGTACCCACCCGAGAGATTGGGGTTAGTCTTGTACCCACCCGAGAGATTGGGGTTAGCCTTATACCGAACGAGAGATTTCTGTCAACTATCGACCTGTCAACCGTCAAGCCTGCATATAATGTTATACTATATACTAAATATTTCTGTCAACTGTCGACCTGTCAATCCTGCATATACAGTTATACTAAAAATACTTTTCTGTCAACTGTCGACCTGTCGACCGTAAACCCTGCACATCCTAAAATAAATTTCTGTCAACTGTCGACTTGCAGACTGTCAACCCTACATATACTTAAATTAATGTGATAAAATTAGATTTCTGTCAACTGTCGACCTGTCAACTGTCAACCCTGCATATAATGTTATACTAAAATAATTTTCTGTCAACTGTCGACCTGTCAACCGTAAACCCTACATATACTTAAATTAATATGAAAAAATTAGATTTCTGTCAACTGTCGACCTGTCAACCGTCAACCCTGCATATACAGTTATACTGAAATAATTTTCTGTCAACTGTCGACCTGTCGACTGTCAATCCTACATATACTACAACAAATTTCTGTCAACTGTCGACCTGTCGACCGCCAACCTTGCATATCCTAAAATAAATTTCTGTCAACTGTCGACTGTCAACCCTGCATATACTATAATTAAATATGATAGAATTAGATTTCTGTCAACTGTCGACCTGTCAACCGTCAACCCTGCATATTCTTAATCAAATTTCTGTCAACTGTCAACCTGTCGACCGTCAACTTTACATGTACATTAATTTATACTGAAATAAATTTCTGTCAATTGTCTACATAAAACACTCGACAGTGCACAATGTAAACACTTGAAATATTTTAAACTATGTTCATATGCGGATAATTTATTTAACAAATAAATTTCATCATGAACTACTTTTCCGTATACACACTGTTTTGTTTTAAAAATGACAGTTGAACGGCGCAAATTTACGGCAAGTCATCAGAAAAAAATGTAAATATAAGAAATGAACTTAATTTTTTGAAGATTCATGAGGTATATGAACTACAACGCTTCACGCCGGCATATTTATCATGAAGCACTAACGCGCTTCATGAAATATGCCGGCGTGAAGCGTCGTAGTTCATAACCTCATGAATCTTCAAAAATTAAATTCATTTCTTAAATGAAGGCATAAACAGTAAATATTCGGCAAAATAAGAGCTGGTCTACATTTGTGATCTTGGCTTTTAAAAATTTAGATCAATTTTCACTGCATCTATCACTGCTTTCAGAATATTGCAAAAGACAAAGTTTGTAAAACAAAAATATGCAAAATTACTTGAAAGAAAATACAATGTCTTCTGTTGGGGATGCAACATTTAAAAAGAAAAGATTGATAGAGACAAATTAACTATAAGATATTGCTGCCTGAAATAGCTTTTCCGTATAGCTTGAGTCTGAGGTCCGGAGACTTTACCTCTTTAAACAGTGGGTAGTAGGTGTCCTCTGTGTTTGGAACATTCAGGAACTTTGGGTTGTAGCCTCCCAGTACATAAAGGTTACTGTCGTCTACCACCACTCGGTGTCCACTCCGCGGGAACAGAAAATCTGAAAAGTGAAGTATAAAACACAATAGAGTTCAGTACATAACACAGAATGGGGCTAAGAAAGATAATAATTATTTCATCATGTGATAATACTGTATAAAGGGTTATTTTCGACCTTTCGCACTTGAAACAATTTTGTTCCATTTAAATTCGCCCAATCATAGTTTTGTATAAGAAATTATACTAGCTGTATTCTTTGAATTCGCTCCATTTCAAATTTGTCCAAAAGAGGATAGGGCAAAAGTGTTGATATGTTTAAATTCACATGTTAAAGGAACTAGGACTTGTGTTGACTAAAGACAAATGAGAATTACTGTGAGCACTTGGAGTTCATCGAATGATAAATCCCCCCCCCTCCCCAATATATAATGCCAAAGCCCATGATTTACTTTTGGAAAACTGAAATGTGTCAGATCAAAAAGTAAAATAGGCCTAGGCAGTGCACAATTGTATTTGGCATAGATAAATAGTGTGTTTCTGGTTCCCCGGCTGACCCTGAAATACACGAGCCAACCCTGAAAAATTTATCCTCCAATAATAACCCTTTGGAAGTAAACAATTCTGGTTTCACTTTGGAAATCCTAATCTGGATCATTTCCATGTTTGAGAAAATGGATATCATATACACATTAATCGAAAATGTTTTGACAGGGATTTCATTTCCTTGTAGAATTTTTAACAATAAAGTGATAAATTAAAATGTTTTTCATACCTTCCTACTCTATTTTTTCTCAAGTTGGAATAGGAAACACACTATTTATTTTGGCTATTATAATGTACCGGTAATAAAGAATCTGTGAAAGTATCATTAAATTTGATTCAGTGGTATAGGACCCTGGAGGAGTTGCAAATATTAGAGATGGGTACTCTTCAAAATTAAAAATAAAAAGAATGGAGTGTCCATGACTTACTATGGGAAACCCAAAATTTGTGCCAAATGAAAAAGTAATTAAATAGGTGCACAATGGTAAGTACTTATATGTAATAAAGATTCTGTGCAAGTATCATTAAATTTCATTCAGTGGCATATTAATTAAGAGTTGCGGATAAGAGCATGAAGAGACGGATACCCCAAAGCATAACAGATTTAACAGATATAGACAGCTAGACAGACAGACATCCTGATAAATATATATACCCTCCCACTTTTCAAGCAGGGGGATAAAAAGGATAAATGAGAACACCTTAAAATGCATGAATTATTACATGAAAAGGAATAACCTAGATAATTTTACTGAGTCAGATATTGTTTAGGAGCACCTTCATTAAGACAAACATTCAGTGTTTTCCCTAAGAACCGGCTACCTGCCAAATTGACCGCTTCAATTGACAAAAATGCCGCTTTGAAATAAAAATTTGTTGTTAGGTCCACAGAGAATGTCCATAAACCTCAGCCTCTAGCCTGTTACAACTTATCTCTAACCCTTTACTTTGAAATAAAGGGAAAACACTGACATTACGTAAAATGACATCAGTTTATACATAGTGTCCTTACTTTATGTAAGAGCTATCCTGGAGGTTACATGCGCATCATATAAGTCAATGAATAGATTTCCTTTAAAAAAGTGTTTTTCATTCACTGAAAATTATGAATGAATCAAGAAAGTACAGAAATATGACTTAGGACAACATGACCCAGGAAGAAGTTCTTACCACACTATAAACATGATAAATACTGACTGACCCTAAGAAATTTTTATTGTTATTTCGGAAGATTAATTTTTACAATCAGCATAGTTACATTTCCATTTTTTTTTTAACAGAGATATTGGTACACATTTAAATCAGCTGTAAATTATACACGGTGTAAATTGACAGAACTTGTTTCCAGTCTTTCTGATTCTTTCAATAAAATATGTTCAAAACAAAAACGAATAATTATGTTCCATTGTAAGATTTACTAGGAAGAGTTGTCTTTCAATGTAAACCATGTTGATCTGACTGGGGTGTGGTGTTAACCAGACACGTATGTACACATGTATACTGTATTATGACTGGGGTGTGTGATGTTAACCAGACAAGTATGTACATGATGTACACATGTATACTGTATTATGACTGGGGTGTAGTGTTAACCAGACACGTATGTACATGATGTACACATGTATACTGTATTATGACTGGGGTGTGTGATGTTAACCAGACAAGTATGTACATGATGTACACATGTATACTGTATTATGACTGGGGTGTGGTGTTAACCAGACACGTATGTACATGATGTACACATGTATACTGTATTATGACTGGGGTGTGGTGTTAACCAGACACGTATGTACATGATGTACACATGTATACTGTATTATGACTGGGGTGTGGTGTTAACCAGACACGTATGTACATGATGTACACATGTATACTGTATTATGACGATCCCCAGGTGGCTTTCATTATCATATGTTTCTCTCACAGATAATTTAGTGTTTAATACATTTCTATAATAATTTCTTGGAATTTTAACACTTTCATCATATTAGGGACATATGATACATTTTTTTATAAAAAATCTTGAAAAAGACAACATAAGTTCTTTTCAATCAAATTTTGTCATTAAGGGGATTTATAGTCCAAAAGAGGTTGTATATTATACTATTATGGACTCTTCTGGTGTTGAATATGGTTTGTTATTCACCAGAAAAATATTCATATATACCGAGGCAAAGCCGAGGTTAATATGGATATTTTTCTGGTGAATAACAAACCATATTCAACACCAAAAGAGTTCATAATTGTTTTATTATATAGTCCAAATTTGAATAAATAAGTCTTAAGACACTGATGGCTGAATGATGATACCATTTTCATTAACGAACTTCCGTCATTGAAAAAAATGTCCAGATTACATTTTGTCACCTCCGTGTTTTCCTTTTCAAGTCTCACTGTGTAAGACGTCCAAATGTTTAAAAATAATCCTGCAATAGGTTTGTATAATGTTTTTCCTGCTCAGATACGTAGCTCGCTGCGGCCGTTGCAACCATTATTTACAACGTTGTTTGACATGTTGATTGTGATGCTGCACGCGTGATGACCCTCCGGTGAATACGGCCTCAAATCCAGTGAATATGTAGTGTAATGAACTGTTTGCGCTTGTATAGATTATATAGGGAATATAAATAGACTATATAATAAACATGTATATATCAATAAGGATGGTTGCCAAAAGATAGAATGTTCATTATCTTGAAAATTATGCTTAGAAAGTTTACATTTTTTAAAATCTTAAAAATTTATTATGCTAGTATCATCTGTCCTCAATTGTACAAAATGTACAATAAAATTATAACACCATGTTTGTATTTTCAATACAGAATTACAGATTCTTGCTTTACTTATACATGTTTGTAAAACATGTACCCAACATTCTGAAAGTGTTATATCATATAATACAGTGTAATTAGACGCTGAAACTTTTAATCCATTTCAAACTGCATTTAATTTTTCTTTAGCTAGTGCTTAATTCTAGATAATGTGTGTTATTTTTTGTTTTACAACTGGGGATATAGGCTTGACTTTTGAAAATTATTTTGATCAATTATGATTTCATCAGTCAAAATTGCTTTTGTTCTCGTTATTTTGTTTTGTTTTCTTTTTTACAGGACGTCATACAGCTAAGAAAATGGACTAGTTCCGTCATGTTTGAGGAAGCCTCTGCCCGGGGCTGCTTTCCTTAACACACCTGCCGCGTCAAATAATCCGTTACAACCGTGTACAAACTGATTGCACAATCTGTCAGATCAGCTGTTATTCATCAAGTCGTTTCTTCTACATCAAGTTTGCAAAATCCCAATTTTTTATGATATGAAAAAATATATATACCTAAATTGTTTCTGTCGATATTTTCCGTAGCTTCGTCGTCTTGCTCTGGGGATCCAAATTTTTCTACGATCAGCCCCCTAACTGCCATTTTTTAAGTTTTTTCTGTCATTGAAACGTTCATCTAACCGTGATTCAATAACCGTGAAGGCTTTATATTATCACTTTGCTGATTGGTTTATCTTTCCAGGTATGTCCAATCAAAAGAATCGTATCTGTTTATACTCGGTATAAAGTGCAAAATGGAGAATTTTGTAAACAATAAACGATCTATAACAGTGTACAAATGTAACGTATTGTAATTTTCTCATTTTTTTCTTTATTGATCTTTATCAGAGAGACACAAGTGTAAAATTTCATCTGGAGTAAATAGAGTTTGTATTGTGAAGGTTTGGGCGTGGGGATTAACAGCTGATTAAGACAAACTTAGAGGAAAGGTATAATGCCCTGATAGTATAATGCCCTGATTGACCTGATTACATATGTATACTGAAATAAAGAGTTTTTATGTGCATAAACAATGTTATTTTTAATGGAAATTGTGAATATCATCATTTTCTATAAGAATCATGAAGAAAATGCTAAATAAAATATTTTTATGAAGTTTTACTTGACAGAGAAAATTGACAGGGGTATAATGTCCTGATTTTAGGGTATAATGACCTGATGACCTGATAGTATAAAAACTTCTAATAAACCCAACTTAGCAAAACTTAAAATTTACTATTTGATTAAATAACTTTTAAGGATCATATATAAAAGTAGTTTAATTCAGTGTAGGCTAAATTATCTATTGTATATTGTTGGAAATCACTTTTGAAGTTTTCAATGGGTATAATGTCCTGATTTTTACATGTAAATGTGTGATTTAATTAATTACTACATAATCTTAAGTTATATAATCTTAATGTAGATATTAGAAAAAAAAATATTGAAAAAAATATATAGCGAATTTTTGAGAAAATAAAGGCATATACAAATGAAGCATATTGATGGAAACATGTAAAACATGCATGCATGCATGTGATAATGAATTATTGGTGGAATTATTCATAATATTTGATGATTCTGTACTGGAACTTACAGTCTATGTACTTTTAAAGGAAAATGATTTTAAGAATTTTATTATAATAGTAAAAAAAAAAAAAAAGTTGATGACCTAGTTGTTGATATTTTTAAATGACCCGATACATAATCTGATGACCTAATATTTTGGAATGACTTGATTGTTGAATATCTTTTAAAACACCATTTTTTTTTTCTTTTTAGTAAAATGTCCTAAATCTAAAATTCGGGAAGGGGTGGGGGTGGGGTGGGTTGTTTAACCTATGCCCCAATGTTCAATTCCTTTATTATATTTCTATCTTTACCCCCCCCCCCATTTCAACACCTATGTTTCTTAAACAAAATTTTTACATGTAATTTAATTAATTCCTAAATATCTGCAACAATTCCAGATAAAAAAATTAATTTTGAAATGCCCTGATATTTTGATTAATCAACGCTTCATAATACTTTAATTAAATTTTAAATAATGATATTTTGATTTATGATCAAACCAATAAGTTTGTTTTTGTGCATGTAGTTATTAGACATATTTAAAATTTCATCAAAAGTATATACATTAAAATGTTTTGTTTATTATTGAATAAATTTGTCTTTAATATAATATTTAAGGGTCAAATAGGAGAGTTATGAGTCTATGAGGTGCGTTTATGAATTATGAGGTCAGCAGAACATGGTTGACTGGGAATACACAGGTGATAATTACAGAAGCCATAAATGGGATATACCCCCAGGTAGTAAAGGGGATACGTATGGCCTCTATGTTCTCTTTGACATTATCAGATATAATAAAAACATAAAAAACAAGCAATTTATGAATATCAAAACTGTTTTTTTTAATTGATCAATTTGCCATAGAATATTGCAGATGAATATTGGCATTATGATCATATACATGGTGTCTTCTAGCTATTCCCACTTTTTAAAAATCTTAATTCCACCTATTCCCACTTGCAAATAACAATAGATGTTAAAAAATTTAGATTTACCTGTATTTTGTACATTTTAAGACAGAAAATAATGAATACATCTACGAGAAAATATGATTTATTTCGGATTTTTGAAATAATAAAAAGATCTTACAAGAAAAAGCAACTTAATACCTAAATTTAAGAACATAGTTAATTATTTGTTTACACAAAATTCCACCTATTCCCACATAAAATCTTACCTTTTTCTACATGATTTTCAAAAAGTGGGAATGGATAGAATGAACCACATGTACATGTTCAATTTTTTTTTTCAAAGAAGTTTGCATCCCTATCAATTTTACAAAAAAGTAAATAATAATAATATATATTTATTTTTTAAATATTATACAGATATTACATACTTTTTATATTTACTGAAAATTTTCGTAAAATTGGTAGATACAAAAACTTCTGTGATTTTTTTTATCCTTAACTACTTAAAATTATATCCTCAAGATATTTCATTCATTCGACAAATTACCGGTATTTAATAATAAAAATTACTTTAGTAGTAAACTGAGTGCTTGTAAGTTTTAAAACAATAAATAAATACAAATAAGAAAAAAATATAGATTAAATTTCTTTCCCCAAAGTTTTAAAACATTTATTTCCTCCAGGTATATTTAAAACATCTGCATTTTTTCTTGCATTTGGAAATTAACATTTGCCTACCATGCAGTCTCTCATAAATGTTGTTCATTAAAAAGAAGTTCATCAATTTTTCCAAATCTATCAAAGTTACTTCAAAGATTTTTTTATTATGTCCACAAAAACCTTAGCACAACATAATAAAATGCATGACAATGAGTTCTACAATTTGTGTCAACTTAAAAACATGAATAGAATTTAGCAGAGACACTTGTTTGACAGTTTCTATAATTAATCTTTGATCCGTGGTATTATTATACTACTGATCAAAAATTTATTACAGAAACAAGTGTCTGCAAGTAGAATGAAGACTGAAATAAAAGAATTAATTAATGAACATCAAGTTATTAGGGAATTCTTCATATTTTCATCAACTTCAATGAATGAGTATAGACAATAGGTATTGAAATCAGGTCATTAGCGAAAATCAGGGCATTCAAAAATCAGGACATTATACACCTTGTTAACTTTAAAAGCGCATTTGAGCAATTAAAAATCGGTATTTTTGAAAATTCTTTTATGTTAAACCTTTATTTATCTTACTGAAAATAAATTTGATTTGAAAAATGAAACAAATATTATGAAAACTTGCTTTTATTATAGGTTTTCATTTTATCAGGTCATCAGGTCATTATACCCTAAAATCAGGGCATTATACCCCTGTCAATTTTCTCCATCAATTAAAACTAAATAAAAATATTTTATTTGGCATTTTCTTGATGATTCTTTGAGAAAATGATAATATTCACAATTTCCAATAAAAATAATATTGTTTATGCACATAAAAACTCTTTATTTCAGTAAATATATGCAATCAGGTCAATCAGGGCATTGTACTATCAGGGCATTATACCTTCCCAAACTTAGAGACGGAGATCGAATGAGCGTAATAACCAATTAATGGTGTCTGCGTTTAAGGAAGATAAAACACTGCACGGGGACTAGAATAACTTGGCAAAGAAAACTTTATACTCTACAACAGAAATTGTCTTTATCTTCACATAAAACTTTAAAATATAAGGAACAAGAAACAAAATCAAAGAACAATTAAAGAACATTTCTACATCAAATTCTGGGAAGTTAACCATTTATAATAATATAATTAGATCAATGTAGATTACAATATTGCGATATATTTAATGCTCAATGTTACATGAAGGAAAACCTCAACCCTACAATTATTAAAACGTACTGCTAGAAGAGTATGTAACATTTTGAAAAAGTGCTTTGACATTAGGAAAGAAAACCTTCAACAAACCTGATATGCTTACTTGGATATTTTATTTCATGTATATTATTGTTGTATTCACATAGGCGTCGGAACCGGGGGGGCTAGGGGGGGCTTAGCCCCCCCACTTTTTTTTCCAGATATATACTTGGTATAGACATGGAACATAACTTCGTAAGTTTAGCCCTCCCACTTTCCACATATATGTCTTAGTATAAGTTAAAAATGGGAAAAGTGGTGGTGTTTTGAAGAAAATATTTGGAACTGGAGTTCGAGTTCGAACCCCCCCCCCCCCCCCCCCCCCCCCCCCCGAAATAGGATTTTTCGATTTGAAAATAGACATTTCCCTTTTTTTTTTTTTTTTTTTTTTTTTTTGCTTGTCAGGTTTTTTGAGAAGGTATAAAATTTATTTTTTTTGACACTTAGCCCCCCCACTTTCAATTTGCTTCCGACGCCAATGATTCATGACTATAAAAAGAAATCTTATTACGTATCGTAATGGGGAATTGTCCAATTTAAACTCAAATTCCTATTTCTTTGGGGGGGGGGGGGGGTTAGAGGCCAACTTCTTTCAGTACTTTTTTTTTAACAATCATAATACATTTTACCCTTAATTTAACTGTATTGCAATAAAAAGTGTGTGTGTGTGGGGGGGGGGGGGGGGTGCCATGATACTACGAACCTGTTGATATGGATGGTATATGGCCTGGAGGATTCGTTGCACCCAGTACATGTAAACTTGCTTTCTTACAGACATTTGAAATATGCATAGTCCCCAATTTACATCGGATGTTAAAGTACAGTCCAAATACTTTGTATAGCTAGATTCTTCATGGACAAGAATAATTATGAAGAGTCCGTATATATAGTTGTGTGACATTCGTGTAACCGAGCGGATGTTACAAAAATGATTAATTAAAAATATGTACAAAATAATTATTTCTCAATTTATGCTTAGCTACTTGCTCAAAATATGATTCGTGGGAAAGCTCAGATAACTTCTCAAGTTCTGAGAACCTAACAAAGAGAAATTATACGAGGGTTGCTAGAAAAGTTCGCGGACCCATTGATTTACGGAAAATCTATTGTGTACTGTGAAGTGTGATCTATGTCTGATGAAATTCTTATCTTTTGTTTATTAGTATGTAAAATATCAGGTCCATTTACTAAAATATAGAAAATTTACAAAGATTTTTACTGTGTGGTCATAGGATTCACGGAGCAATCACTTGACGTTACGTGACAATCAAATTTCAAACCCTTTAAGCTTTTTCAGAGTTGTAAATATCTTTCGATCTTAAGACTTTTCTTCTCTTTTTTCTACATAAAAATTAAATATCTTTATCAAGACATGTTAATTTTCTTCTGTAATGTCTTTTGTGCTGTTTCGGATATTAGCGAGATCTTAAAATAAGGGGTCAGCGCAGTTAAGCGAAATCAATGCAAAATCTATTGGCACAAGGTCCATGCAATAAGCATGATAAGCTGGGTAATGCGATATCACAGGAGTTGATCATTGAAAATGTTAATCCTTCCATTCTTATATAAAGCTACTACCTTTTGAATACTTTTGATATTTGTAAAAGCAATTTCAACAGCATCTAGAAGCATTTTAGTCTCTTTTTAGACATTTTCCTGTATGCACACATAATTATTAGTTGCTCGTGCTCCATGATGTTCAATGACGTTCCCTTTCTTGGCTTAATTTTTACGCGTTGATTATTTATGCATTGTTATAGAACAGTCATATACCCTCCAATTTATTTCAAAAGAAGATGGGGGAAACAAGGCGGGCAGAATGCATATAGCATCGGATATTAAGAAATCATATTCAGTATGTGAATTGAGTATTTAAATTAACTTCTGATTATTAAAATTTATAATTATGAGATAAAAAAAAAATCTGAGAGAAAAAAATCTCGTGAGAATTTTTTCTTTTATAAAAACACATGAAAAATATAAGATTATACTCGTGGGATTCGAACCCCTAGCAATAAAAATCCGACGTATACTTGAAGTTTTTTTTCGGAAAGATGCGAATGTTTTGTCATAAAAGTGTACTGCTAAGGTATAGTGGGTCTTCGCTCCATGTTTTTGTAAGCGATAAATTGTATATGAATTTAATTGCAAACTTTAGGATAACCTTTCTAAAAAAAAATGGAGGGAAGACCCACTCATACTGAAAAAAATTTGTAAAAGTATGAGAAAATGATCGTTTTGTTCTTTTTATTGTGTATATGCTTTTTCATGGGCAAATATTTTCAGTCTTGGTGAGATTTTTGTAAATTATAGAGATTTTACATTAAGTATACTTTAATATTAGAGGAAATATCAATTAAAATTTGGATAAAATTGAGATTAAATTTTTCACTTCCTATCTGTCGCACTTTATGCACTTCGTCCGCCTTATCCACCCATCTTCTTTCGCTAAGTGACGTTTCATAAATACTTTAGCGACGGGCAATATCATTAATCTTTTTGTGCTAAACTGTGCAATTTTTGATATCAATAAAATGTCAATGTATTGTGAACGTGCGAAACGAAGCATGCTCTGTGAAGCGTGTTTTATCAAAATAAAATAGCTGTATATTTTTTAAGGATCTCCGGAAAACACCAAATCTTTGTATATTTAGATCTATTGGATATTAGGTAAGATCTTTTACATGTGTTGGTCAAATTGAAGATTTAGAATGTGACATATATTATGAAACACCCTGTAATACTGGTAATTCATAATTTTTCATACTTGTCTGTTCAAAGTTCTAATTAAATAGAAATGTTCTGTATGAGCTCTTTTTCTACCGGGAAACATAAATAAACAAGATGTGTTTGTGAAATACTATGCGCCCGGCGGCAACAACGTTCGGAAAAAGCTATATTTAGCATATTATAGGTCACAGTCAAGGTCACAAGGTTATTGACCTTGGTGTCATTTGAAAGAACTTTATTAATGGAGTATGCACACTAAGCAATCTCTATCTCCTATGGTTCAAAAGTTATGCATGGCGAGGATACGGAAAGGCTATTATTAGCATATAGGTAACAGTCAAGGTCACAATAAGGTCATTGAACGTGATGTCATTTGAAGGAACTTAATCAGTAGAGTATGCGTACCAGATATGAAGTCTCTATCTCTCATGGTTCAAATGTTTTGTCGAAGGTTCAAAAGAGCTATTTTAGCATATTATAGGTAGCAGTCAAGGTCACAGGGTCATTGACCTTGGTGTCATTTGAAAAAGCTTGATTTTTGGAGTTCATAAAATTTTGTTAATAACAATTCTTTCTTTTCTTAAATCGCTTATACACAAAAACAGATTTTTTTTAAATACAATAAATGTATACTTTAAAATGGGAGGGGGGACGATTTAGATATGGAACAAATTGAATGGGCACCCGGTAGTTCGATCGTAACCGCTCGGTTATCATCATTCAGATTTTATCGTTCACGGAAATGCCCGAGTGGTTACGAAAGTTATTAGTTATGAAGGGTTTTTGCCTGACTTGAGTTATTGACAAATCTTTCTTCAGTGTGTGCAATGGAGGAGTCGGCGAAACCAAAGGTAAAAGTTCTCAACGAGCATGGTAAAGCAGAGAAGAATGCCATTAAAGCCGTGGAACTATCGAAAAAACTTCAGAAGACTATGCTAAGGTAAACTTCGTAGTTCGTCGTGTATTTGTACTGAGTACCCACTGACACCCCCTTAACATTATGTTGTATTTTCCAGTGGGATCCAGATTAATGACAGTCTTCAGAAACATACGTATTTACTGTGTACGTCCCTGCGATTATTCAACCTGTAAATACGCTTCGTTAAAAATAATCAAATCAATGCAAATAAAGTTGTAAATTGTGTGGCTTAAAAGTCAAAGGCTCAAGATTAGAAAGATATGTAGATATCAGCTGTTTTCCGGTCTCCCAAGGGTCACACCGTGTTCTTTTTTGTTTCATTCATGAAATAAAATACGTAAATATAAATAACACATTTTAACTTCTAAGTTACCAATATTTTTTTCAGTTGCCATAATTTAGGACACTCAAAATAGTAATGTCATGCAAGCCTAGATAAATAAGAACGGGGCCTAGACTCTGCAAGACATGTCTACCCCTCCAGTCTCTTCTCAGAATTTGACAGTATTCTTCTGGTCAACCATTCCTCTTCCAAAGCAAGCCTGATGTTCCCTTTTTACATGTGTCACAGGTGGTGAAAATCAGGTCTCAACCGGGACTCGAACCCAGGGCCTCTGGTGTACCGTGCCAATGCTCTAACCAATTGAGCTATTGAGACCCGATATATTGACTGACCTTCACGCACCTGTGAACCCGGTGACACAAGTTTTAGGAGAAAAAAATTGCCTAAATGTTTACCAGAATAAATATGTAAAATTAGTAAAATACTGTGAAATCACAAATTTTTGTGGGGGTTAAATTTTCGTTGGTTCTGAGGTATGGAGAGACCCACGAACTTATGACCTCCACCAAATGTAAAATTTCAAATACAACATTACTCAACATTCTCATACAATGAAATCAAATCCCCACAAAGTATCAAATCCCCACAATAATATTATTTCCTCAATCCTTGAAAATTTGACCCCACAAATTTTTGTGATTTTACAGTATGCTGAATGATGCTGACTGAGAGCTAGTATATGTGATGGGAGATCCAGGAATTGATTGTTTGTTTTTAGCATTAATTGAGAGTATTGCAAGGGAGGATCTAGAAATTCATTATATGATCATCTGTTATTTATTTCAGTATCAAGGGCGAATGTATTGGGGAGGATCGTGGAATTGACTATGACAAACTAAAGAAAAGTGAAGCATTCAAAGAATACAAGAAGGAGACTCTACAGCTACAGGTTGTCTCCCTTGATGACCTCAGTGAACCCGAGAGGAAGGCCTTCTTCATCAGTATCCTTAAAATCAAGTGAAGGGGGAAATTTTAATGTCAGTGAATTCTGCAGGAAATGTTCATGTCTGACAGTGAATTTTTTATGGTGTCACTTCAAGAATTGTATATATACTGCAATAATTCCAATCTTAATTTTATTTATTGATTCCCTCTGTTTTGATTGGATTAGAATGAGTTCCAGAAAAAGTTATAACACATTGATGAATTTTTCAATCAGAACTTAACTTTCTTGACATAGCTTTTAGGCTATTTTAAAAAATATGAAAGTTAACGTTGTTTTAGCTACTGTATACATACTTTTTTCCAGGGGGTCATAATTCCCCAGAATCTCAATTTCGGTTTAATCCGTGGGTTGAAAATTACGCGGAATTCTCAGACTGTTACTATATATCTTGCATTTGTATTAATTAAGTATGCTTGGACAAATTTCCGTGGAGATTTTGTGACCATATACATAGCGTTAATTTTAAATACCATGTGCAAAAAAGTATTTCTACAGTATTTTCAGCTGCAGATCTGTAGCGTTATTGTTTTATATAGTAGTCTTGACCATAGTGTCAAGACTACGTACTATATGGTCAAAACTACTATATAAAACCATAACATTACAGATCTGTAGCTACAGTATATTATGATTACAGACAGGAATATTATGTTTATGTCACTGGTGGATCACAAATGTTAATTTGAAAAATTGCTGATGTCATATCCTTGGCGTTCGTAATATTAAGTTAGTCAGCTCAGTTCTCGGTATCATTTTGATAGGAACTCACACTCTTTCCTTATTAGCATCAAATTCATATTTTTATATCTTATAATATTCTGTATGTCTCATCTTTGAACAAACCAGAGCAGATCAAGGGTGTCAAAGGTCTGCTTAACTTTTGTTTTAGAGTGTTGTTGTTGTCAACATGGTTAAGGACAAATTATTCTGAAGAGTACTTCAGTATTTAAGATATTTTTTGACTTAAACAACATTTGAGGAGTTTCTATAGGATTAATTCATTGATTATTTTGACAATTTAAGTTGAATTTTATTGACAACCAATTTTTGAAATATATTTTGTTAAGAAATTTGTAGATTGAATTTAGCATAATCTCTAACCATGATGCCAGTTCCTGAGGTCTGGAGTTTAATAATTGATTGAAATAAAGGTTATGACTCCATTTAGCAGATTAATCCATCAGTAATAATTATCACAGGTTTCACTGGCTGGTACTGTAATGATTACATAGTTAATCCATGCAGAAGGCTGCCATTAGTTAGCTATATCAAAGCTAGTAACATGATAGAGAAATAATTAACATTGACCTCTCTCAATATCTTATTTTACCATGTTTACTGAGGTAATAATATTTAAACCTTTGGGTGTTATTGTTCTGTATTAGCTAGATCAGGAGGAATTTGATGATAATGGAGATACTTATTATAACTTAAGCTGAATATAAAACTTCATTCTCTTGCATTAAATATGTTGTACATGGCTGATATTTTATGAGATCGAGAAAGAAAAGGGGTGGATGGGGGGTTAAAATTGATCATTATTTGCCCTTTGACCTTCAAAGAGCTGGTTCACACAGACAGACACACCGTACATTATCACAATCCTTATGATCTGCATTATAAATGTCCTTATAGCCCAATAGATCTAGGGCCTTGACTGAGCTTTTCTGATCCAATAAAAGCCTGGATGACATCCCAACAAACTGCTGTTTAAACTACTTACTGGTCCTTTTTTTTGTGTGTATTTTGTGTCAATTTTTTTAAACAACTGTAAAACTGTCCTTTTTGGTATTTATTTTGTGTCAGTTTTTTCAAACAACTGTAAAACTAAGTATAAAATTATTTATAGCTGCTATCAAGCCATAAAAATCAACATGACTGATTAAAGAGATAAACACTACAGATTGTGCTGAGTTTTAATTCTTTTGAAAACCAGCATACCCAGTCCTGTATACAGTATACTGAGAAAACATTAAGGAATATTGGACAGGATTACATCATACCCTGCTACTAAGTCCAGGGGGTATATTGACAAAAGGGGGATTTAAATAAATTGTTTTTTTATTGGTGTCTGATCCCTTGATGTATACAGTGTAGATTAGTTAGCTGGTGCTCCCTGATCTTTATTTACGTTTTTAAACATTATAAATTTTGAAGGTCTGGTACAATCACATTCCCAGTTCTTCCTTTAATTTCTTTTAAAATATGATTAAAGATTTAAGCTGACAAATCTTAGATTTTCTCTCCTGACATAATTCTTTTACTCAAGATGAGAGAAAGACTACAAAAATGGTAAGTTTTAAGAATGTATATGGTATAGATCTTTTTCTATCATTTATAAATATTTCATGTCAGAGAAGAATTTTAAATTTTTCAGCATTTGTCAACAGTCAGAGAGATAATGAAAATAAATCAAACACGTAAAAAAGAAGGCTCTGATGCATACATCGCAGTTAATTGATCTGTTTCAGGGCCTCTAACAAGAGTGAATTAATTATTCACCAACCACTCAAGTGATTGATCAAACCTGTACAAAGTCAAAAAAAAAATCCATATGATGTGTATTGTCAGAAAGAAAAAATATTATAATGTTTATACATGTAAACGTAATGAAAAATTTTTTAAAACAAATTTGCACACATGAAAGTTATTTACAAAAAAACCATATGTTAATAGTTTTAAAGAAAATCCTAGTTGACATTTGGATCAATTTTGGTTTGTATTACATAAATGTGCACTGTTTACTTTTAGCCTAGACTTATACAGCTTTAAGTTTTACATGTTTTAATTGTAAATTTTTTGGTTTACTTATGTTTGTAACAGAGCCTGACAATTTTGATTTTAATTTAAGTTACAACTTTTAAAATTATTACAACCTAGACTTAAGACTAATTATTTTAAAAAAATTCTTAAATTTCTCTTTGTATCAGAAATTTCTGGGTTAGGGTTAGTTGATGTTAAATGTTTGCATGAAACATTTTATTTATTTGCAACTGTTTTGTTTACGAGCAGTCTGTGGAATATTCTAGCCTTGTTAGATTATGTAATATCTATTAATTTGATCACATTGATATGCTTCTTTTATATGCATGTGACCTGTGACCTCTATCAGGTTCCTTAACTCTTCCTAGACTTGTATAATGCCCTGACCATCCATGGTCTCGCTGAACAGGAATCTCTTCCTAGCTCTGTCCTTGACATTCAGCAGTTCTGGAAGACAACGGCCTACAACGTAGGTGGACAAGTTTACAGTCTGGACGACATTGAGCACGGCATTCTCAGGGGTGAGTATAATTAACAGCGAGTCAATTACCTGAACTTGTACATTTCAGTGTACAACTAATCTTTAGTATTAGTCTATTATTGGTATGAAAATAAGTTTTTCACCAAGTGTAGGTTATGAGAGTGTGTCATCAAGTAAAGGTTATGAAAGTGTGTCACCATGTGTAGGTTATGTGAGAGTGTGTCACCAAGTGTAGGTTATGAGAGTGTGTCATCAAATAAAGGTTATGAGAGTGTGTCACCAAGTGTAGGTTATGAGAGTATGTCACATCAAGTGTAGGTTATGAGAGTGTGTCATCAAGTGTAAGTTATGAGAGTGTGTCACCAAGTGTAGGTTATGAGAGTGTGTCACGAAGTGTAGGTTATGAGAGTGTGTCATCAAGTGTAGGTTATGAGAGTGTGTCACCAAATGTAGATTATGAGAGTTTCACATCAAGTGTAATTTATGAGAGTGTGTCATCAAGTGTAGGTTATGAAAATGAGTATTTCACCAAGTGTGAGGTTATTACCAAGTTAGGTTATGAAGAGGTATGTCATCAAGTGTAAGTTATAAGAGTGTGTCACCAAGTGTAGGTTATGAGAGTGTGTCATCAAGTATAGGGTTATGAGAGTGTGTCATCAAGTGTAGGTTATGAGAGTATGTCACCAAGTGTAGGTTATGCGAGTGTGTCATCAAGTATAGGTTATGAGAGTGTGTCACCAAGTGTAGGTTTTGAGAGTGTGTCACCAAGTGTACTGGTTATGAGAGTATGTCACATCAAGTGTAGGTTATGAGAGTGTGTCACCAAGTGTAGGTTATGAGAGTGTGTCATCAAGTGTAGGTTATGAGAGTATGTCACATCAAGTGTAGGTTATGAGAGTGTGTCACCAAGTGTAGGTTATGAGAGTGTGTCATCAAGTGTAGGTTATGATGTATCACCAATTGTATGCTATGAGAGTGTGTCACCTTAAGTGTAGGTTATGAGAGTGTGTCATCAAGTGTAGGTTATGAGAGTGTGTCACCAAGTGTATGTTATGAGAGTATGTCACCAAGTGTAGGTTATGAGATTGTCATCAAGTGTAGGTTATGAGAGTGTCATCAAGTGTAGGTTATGAGTGTCACCAAGTGTAGGTTATGAGAGTGTGTCATCAAGTGTAGGTTATGAGAGTGTGTCACCAAATGTAGGTTATGAGAGTGTCACATCAAGTGCAGGTTATAAAATGTGTCATCAAGTGTAGGTTATGAGAGTATGTCACCAAGTGTAGGTTATGAGAGTATGACATCAAATATAGGTTACAAGAGTTTGTCATCAAGTGTAGGTTATGAGAGTGTGTCACCAAGTGTAGGTTATGAGAGTGTGTCACCAAGTGTAGGTTATGAGAGTATGTCACATCAAGTGTAGGTTATGAGAGTGTGTCATCAAGTGTAGGTTATGAGAGTATGTCACCAAGTGTAGGTTATGAGAGTCTGTCATCAAGTATAGGTTATGAGAGTGTGTCATTAAGTGTAGGTTATGAGAGTGTGTCACCAAGTGTAGGTTATGAGAGTGTGTCACCAAGTATAGGTTATGAGAGTGTGTGACCAAGTGTAGGTTATGAGAGTGTGTCACATCAAGTGTAGATTATGAGAGTGTGTCATAGGGCTGTCACGGGTACCCGAAATGACCCGGAACCGCGGAACAATTAATTCGGGTCGGGTACGGTTCCGTTTTTCTGGAATTCGGTTCGGTTCCAATTTGTATAATAGAGTAGATTTTACTATAAAATGGCGTCAAATTAAATTGTCATTAAAAGGCAGGGTTTCAGATTGGTGTCGGCCATTTGCCAATAAAAGTTTACCTACCTATAAGTTTGACATTGAACAGACACAATGGCCGATTATCTTCTGTATGTAAAGGCCAGTCGTATAATTTTTCCTCCTTTCAGATCCGATTGTTTTTCTCTACTTTCTGCAACTGCCGATTCAATCAGCCAATGACATTTTGGTATAAATAGATCTTGACAAAATACTCTATAATTTTATTTCCAAACCCAACTGCAAGGAGCATCAAGTAGTGATGAATGTTTAAAATATCGAAGGAATCCATGCCATGTTGTTATTTTTACCGCCATGATTGAATATGGGGTCGGACTAATAGCAGGAAACGGACAATGTTGCAAGGTTTTTCTAAGGGGAAAAAATAGTCTAGGTAATCTTTAAACGTAATTATACATTGAATATCATCAGAGATACAAGTCTAATTTTTGGATTACTATTTTTAAAAATTGTAATCCCAAGAAATAAATACATTTACATGTAATGAAAGGTGGGACTAATATAAGTTAAATAACCATTGAATGGAATTAAAAAAAAAACAATTCCCATTCTGTTTCAATATATTAATTTTGTTTAAAAGAAACAAAATAATATTTCCACCTTATTAAAAGGAAAATTAATATACATGTTTGAATATTTTATGTAATAAAATGACTATTTTGTAAAAGTCTGACAGAAATCTGAGTTAGTTTAACTTTTCTATTGGCCTATAATTTTAGGAAGTTTAGGACAGAATGGCCTATAACTTTTCTGGTAAATATGCAGATGTCCTATAGTTACTTATTTCAATCTGAAACCCTGAAAGGTGATTTAAATAATTTGGTACAGTTGTTGTCTAGTCAGGAGGCTATTTTAAACTAGTTATAATGTTCCAATTTCTAAGATTAAATGAGAATATTCTTTTTATTGCTGAAAATAATACAGATCATGAGCTTTTCATCCATTACCTATACCCGACCCGAGAAACCCGAAACCGACCCTCAAAAAATCAGAACCGACCCGACCCGAAAAATTTTGGAACCGTGACAGCCCTAGTGTGTCAACAAGTAAAGGTTATGAGCGTGTGTCACCAAGTGTAGGTAATGAGGTTGTATCACCATGTGTATGTTATGAGAGTGTGTCATCAAGTGTAGGTTATGAGAGTGTGTCACCAAGTGTAGGTTATGAGAGTGTGTCACCAAGTGTAGGTTATGAGAGTGTGTCACCAAGTGTATGTTATCAGAGTGTGTCACAAGTGTAGATTATGAGATTGTGCCATCAAGTGTAGATTATGAGAGTGTGTCATCAAATGAAGGTTATGAGTGTGTCAACAAGTGTAAGTTATGAGTGTGTGTCATTAAGTATAGGTTATGAGAGTGTGTCTCATAGGGCTGTATCAATACATCCATATATCGATATGTATTGATATTCAAGAAAAATATCGTATTGAAAAATTACTTCCAATACGTATGGGACAAGCAGTTTTTCTTCTAATTCTGCTAAAAAGATGGGAATTTTAATCAGCAAAGATTATATTTTACTTTTTTGAATTAAAACTGATCAATAATTATAGATTTATAAAAGAAATAACACAGTTTTTATAGTTATTATAAAATACATAAAAATTTTATTTTAATATGTTGATTTTACAGTCATTAGAAGTTTCGATTGGAAGTGTTTTATTAACTGACTTTGGGATAAGAACTTTGAAATGGATAATGAAACAGTAAATTTTTTATGAAATCCATGCATTAAATGATTAATAAGCCTTTTTTGGTGGACTTGTTTTAGAATCGAATATATCGTATATCGCTTTAAAAAATATTGTATCATATCGAAATTTTTTGCTCAATACACAGCCCTAGTGTGTCATCAAGTGTAGGTTATTAGAGTTTGTCTTCAAGTGTAGGTTATGAGAGTGTGTCATCAAGTGTAGGTTATGAGAGTGTGTCACCAAATGTAGGTTATGAGAGTATGTCATCAAGTGTAGGTTATGAGAGTGTGTCACCAAGTGTATGTTATGAGAGTGTGTCATCAAGTGTAGGTTATGAGAGTGTGTCACCAAGTGTAGGTTATGAGAGTATGTCATCAAGTGTAGGTTATGAGAGTGAGTCACCAAGTGTAGGTTATGAGAGTGTGTCATCAAGTGTAGGTTATGAGAGTGTGTCATCAGGTATAGGTTATGAGAGTGTATCATCAGTGTAGGTTATGAGAGAGTGTGTTACTAAGTATAGGTTATGAGAGTGTGTCACCAAATGTAGGTTATGAGAGTATGTCATCAAGTGTAGGTTATGAGAGTGTGTCACCAAGTGTATGTTATGAGAGTGTGTCATCAAGTGTAGGTTATGAGAGTGTGTCACCAAGTGTAGGTTATGAGAGTATGTCATCAAGTGTAGGTTATGAGAGTGAGTCACCAAGTGTAGGTTATGAGAGTGTGTCATCAAGTGTAGGTTATGAGAGTGTGTCATCAGGTATAGGTTATGAGAGTGTATCATCAGTGTAGGTTATGAGAGAGTGTGTTACTAAGTATAGGTTATGAGAGTGTGTCACCAAGTGTAGGTTATGAGAGTATGTCACATCAAGTGTATGTTATGAGAGTGTGTCATCAAATGAAGGTTATGAGTGTGTCAACAAGTGTAAGTTATGAGTGTGTGTCATTAAGTATAGGTTATGAGAGTGTGTCTCATAGGGCTGTATCAATACATCCATATATCGATATGTATTGATATTCAAGAAAAATATCGTATTGAAAAATTACTTCCAATACGTATGGGACAAGCAGTTTTTCTTCTAATTCTGCTAAAAAGATGGGAATTTTAATCAGCAAAGATAATATTTTACTTTTTTGAATTAAAACTGATCAATAATTATAGATTTATAAAAGAAATAACACAGTTTTTATAGTTATTATAAAATACATAAAAATTTTATTTTAATATGTTGATTTTACAGTCATTAGAAGTTTCGATTGGAAGTGTTTTATTAACTGACTTTGGGATAAGAACTTTGAAATGGATAATGAAACAGTAAATTTTTTATGAAATCCATGCATTAAATGATTAATAAGCCTTTTTTGGTGGACTTGTTTTAGAATCGAATATATCGTATATCGCTTTAAAAAATATTGTATCATATCGAGATTTTTTGCTCAATACACAGCCCTAGTGTGTCATCAAGTGTAGGTTATTAGAGTTTGTCTTCAAGTGTAGGTTATGAGAGTGTGTCATCAAGTGTAGGTTATGAGAGTGTGTCACCAAATGTAGGTTATGAGAGTATGTCATCAAGTGTAGGTTATGAGAGTGTGTCACCAAGTGTATGTTATGAGAGTGTGTCATCAAGTGTAGGTTATGAGAGTGTGTCACCAAGTGTAGGTTATGAGAGTATGTCATCAAGTGTAGGTTATGAGAGTGAGTCACCAAGTGTAGGTTATGAGAGTGTGTCATCAAGTGTAGGTTATGAGAGTGTGTCATCAGGTATAGGTTATGAGAGTGTATCATCAGTGTAGGTTATGAGAGAGTGTGTTACTAAGTATAGGTTATGAGAGTGTGTCACCAAATGTAGGTTATGAGAGTATGTCATCAAGTGTAGGTTATGAGAGTGTGTCACCAAGTGTATGTTATGAGAGTGTGTCATCAAGTGTAGGTTATGAGAGTGTGTCACCAAGTGTAGGTTATGAGGGTATGTCATCAAGTGTAGGTTATGAGAGTGAGTCACCAAGTGTAGGTTATGAGAGTGTGTCATCAAGTGTAGGTTATGAGAGTGTGTCATCAGGTATAGGTTATGAGAGTGTATCATCAGTGTAGGTTATGAGAGAGTGTGTTACTAAGTATAGGTTATGAGAGTGTGTCACCAAGTGTAGGTTATGAGAGTATGTCACATCAAGTGTATGTTATGAGAGTGTGTCACCAAGTGTAGGTTATGAGAGTATGTCTTCAAGTGTAGGTTATGAGGTTGTATCACCAAGTGTGGGTTATGAGAGTGTGTCATCAAGTATAGGTTATGAGAGTGTGTCATCACTTGTAGGTTATGAGAGTGTGTCATCAAGTGTAGGTTATGAGAGTGTGTCATCAGGTATAGGTTATGAGAGTGTATCATCAAGTGTAGGTAATGAGAGAGTGTGTTACTAAGTATAGGTTATGAGAGTGTGTCACCAAGTGTAGGTTATGAGAGAGTGTGTTACTAAGTATAGGTTATGAGAGTGTGTCATCAAGTGTAGGATTTGAGAGTGTTCCAGTCAGGTTAGAGTATACGTATGGGAGTTTCCCATCAAGAGTAGGTTTTGAGAGGAGATCTTTTACAGTAGTTTGTTAAAGGTGCCTTCTCAATTTTTTTTGTCAGGTAACCGAAGTCACCCAGCCTCCACCAAACCTCAGTTTGCAGAGGGAGACCCTCGACTGAAATACGTCATGAAGAACCTGGATCCCAGAATTCACTTTGCTCTCGTGTGTGGAGCAGTGGTATGAACAAGTAGATCTCTATTTATTGGATGCAATGTTTAAGTATTGGTGTTTATTTCATTATTAAAGTTTGGATAGGGAAAATTCATATCCTATAGAAGCAGTTATACTAGTAGCAACCAGCGTTAACATTTTCATATCACAAAACTGACTTCTGATTTGTAAGTGTATGACGTGTACATTATCAATGCTTCTTCTGCAGTCCTGTCCAGCCATTAATGTGTACACAGCAGAAAACCTTGACAAGGCATTGGACCAAGCCACAAAGAATTTCTGTAAACAGGAAGTGTCCATGTTTACAGAGGTGGACGAAGTCTGGCTCTCTAAGATCTTCCTGTGGTACCGTGATGACTTCGGGGGGAACAGTGTTGCAGTTATTGAGTAAGCAGCTTATATAGTCTAATCATCAGAACAGTTTAGCAGTTATTGAGTAAGCAGCTTATAGTCTAATCATCAATACACTGTAGTATGAATGTCTATTATATATATCATATATATATATATTTTGCTAGTATTACGCTATCATGTGACGTCGTGATCCGACTTTCCGGATCACCACACTGTGATTTTCTGGATCCATATCACCACTCTCTAGAACTGATGACATAGTACACAGAAACTTGATGTTATTTTTCTTGGGTGTGAAAAAGACCCTTTTTATTTTGCCTTGTTTTATGGATAAATGTTATACAATTGATCTCTTATGTTTTATTTTGCTATATTTTGCTAGTAATGAGGGGTATAGTTTAAATTTATCGTTATAACAGTAAACTGATCCGAAGAGTTGTATCACGTCTCATTGACAGGCGCGGATCATCAGATCTAACTGGACGCTTTGCGTCTAGTTAGATCAGATGATCTGCACCTGTCAACTCGATGTGATACGACCCTTCAGATCAAATTACTGTTATAATAATATATATATTGAAAACTACATTTAAATCAGATTCATTGAATCAGATATGCATGTATACATTTAGCACAATTTCTATAATAGACAAATGTAAAAGTAACTTCATGAGTCATGATGTCGGTGTTGAATTCATAGGTTCATCACTTGATTTAGTTCACACTCACTATTGCCCATTATATTATTCATATTAAACAATAATTAAAAATTCAGTCTTGTACATTTTAAGCTCTTCTGAGCCAAAGGCTCAAAGAGCTAATGCTATGGCCATTTGTGCGGTGTGCGTAAACTTTTTAGAATATGGGCCATAACTCAAGAACCCCTTGGTCAATCAGTACCAAATTTGTCACAGGGTATCCTTGGCCCAAGGGCTACCATTTATACTAAAATAAGGGTTGGGACCCTTAAACAATGGGAGATAATCAGGAAAACAAAAACAAAAGTACTGGGTCCACCGTCATAAAACATACTTAAGTCTGAGAATGCTCTCAAATCTGAGAATTTTCTCAAATCCAAAATTCTCAGACTCAGCGGCTGTCATAAAAAGTTGAGAAAAATAAAAATTCCTTAAACTCTGTTTTATTCAATAATTCTCAGGTGAGTAATTCTCAAGACTTGAGTTGAGAATTCTTCTGGGAATTCTTAAAGTTTTATAACGGTGGACCCTGGTTGCTAAAAAATCTTCTTCTCCATAACCACCAGGCAGATTTTCACCAAACTTACGCACAAGGATCAGGATATGTCGAAGATTAAAATTTGCAAGGGGAATTACCCTGGGGCAAAGGGCGTGGTCTCAAGGTCACTTCAAAGTTTACCTAAATTTACAATTAATAAAAACGTGTATATTTTGCTTACTATAAGGACTAGGATCATCAATTCTTGTAAGATGATGCATCTTACGACTTCACATCATGTTAACTCAAAAGTAGGTCACCTACTTTTTAAATTTTATGGGGATTTGTTTTCAAATTGAGTTGAAGGCATATTTTGGACACTTTAAGGCCTATGATCATCAAACTTTGTCAGTTGATGCATCTTGGGTCCTCAAACAATGTCAACTTAAAAGTAGGTCACCGTGACCTACTTTTTGAACTTCATGACTTATCCTTTTAAAAACATTAAATCCCATTATTTCAGACACTGGGAGGTTTAGAATCATCAAATCTTGTACTTTGATGCATCTTGGGACCTTAAAACATATTTATGAAAAAGTAGGTCACTGTGACCTACTTTTTGAATTTTGCCGACATTTGTTTTCAAATTGTTTAAAACGCATATTTTGATTACTTTCAGACCTACGATCATCAAACTTGGTCAGTAGATGCATCTTGGGTCTTTGAAAAATGTCGGCCAAAATGTAGGTCACGATGACCTACTTTCGACATTTTATGGCTATATTTAAGTATCTTAGGTATTTATTGGCTTAGAATCATCAAACTTTGTGAGTCCATGCATATTTGGTTTTCGGAGAGTGACGACCTAAAAGTAGGTCACGATGACCTACTTTTGACATTTTATGGCTTTATTTAAGTATCTCCGGTACTTATTGTCTTAGAATCATCAAACTTTGTGAGTTGATGCATCTTGGGTTTTCAAAGAGTGACGACGAAAAAGTAGGTCATCGTGACCTACTTTTGACATATTGTGACTATAATTTAGTATCTCTGGTACTTATTGACCTAAAATCATCAAACTTTGTCAGTTGATGCGTCTTGGATTTTCGGAGAACGTTGACCAAAAAGTAGGTCACAGTGACCTACTTTTGACATTTTATGGCTATATTTAAGTATCTCAGGCACTTATTGGCTAAGAATCATCAAACTTTGTCAGTTGAGGCACCTTGGGTTTTCGGAGAACTTCGACCAAAAAGTAGGTCACTGTGACCTACTCTTGACATTTTATGGCTATATTTAATTGTATCTGGTACTTATTGGCTTGGAATTATCAAACTTTGTCATTTGAGGCATCTTAGGGTTTCATTGAATGTCCAACAAGATGTAGGTCACGGTGACCTAATTTTGAATATCTCAGGTACTTATTGGCTTAGAATCATCAAATTTTGTCAATTTAGGCATTATGGGTTTTTGAATAATGTCGACCAAAAAGTAGGTCACCATAACCTAATTTTGACATTTGATGGCTATATTTAGTTATCTGGTACTAATTGGCTTAGAATCGTCAAACTTTGTCAGATGCATCGTGGGTTTTCAGAGAATGTTGACCAAAAATTAGGTCATGATGACCTACTTTTGAATATCTCAGGTACTTATTTAAGTAGAATCATCAGTCTTTGTCAATTAATGTATCTTGAGTCCTCAGAAAATTTCAATCAAAAAGGTAGGTCACTGTGACCTACTTATGGTATTTTATAATTATATTATATTAATATCTTCAGTCTTAACTGGCTAAATATTATCAAACTTTGTAAGTTGATGCAATTTTGTTAGTCTTATGGTACTAATAGAGTTGGAGGCTTCTAATAGAAGTGATAGATTGTACAATTTATCAGAAGAGCGATTCAAGGCCCTTGGGCCTTTTGTTTTTAATTTGATGACTTCTTGTTCCAGATGGATCATGCCTTATCTTGAGAAAGACATTCAGGACAGAGCTGTAGTTCTTCTATTTAAAATTAAAAATGTAGGTCAGGTGGACATTAAGTACAATGAGTATGATTGGCGGCTAAACAAGCTGGGGGTCACGCCCCTCATTCTGTGATTGACAGCTGTTAGACACGCCCACCCTCTGTGATTGACAGCTGCAAGACACGCCCACCTTCTGTGATGAGTGGTAGAGAAATATTGATGTTTTTACCTTCACACGTGTACAACACAGGGATAAAAAAAGGTTCAACCCGTCTGATATATTTTTATGTTTAGTTCTTTATTTATGCAATGTTTAGAAATTTTTTTGATTATGTACTTCATAATTTCTAAATTTTAAGGACTAAGTTAAATACATTCGGAGTGCCATATTTATGGATAGTGGTTAGATTTTTTTGTTTGTATCTTGTACTACCTGTTATTACATACTTATACCTCATCAAACTTAAGGGTACTTACCACAAACAAAAAATGGATGCGCGGGTTGATATATATTTTTTGACTGATTTTGATTTGTATTGATGTAAATAATAAATCCCTGAAATATAAAGAAATCGTAGGTTTTCCTTGGTGCTTAGATTTGAGATTTTATTTTGCCTTCTATATAATTCCATACAAAATTTTGCACATTTTTTTAAATTTATGACAAAATCTTATAAAATTCTCCCACTCTACTTTGTAAACATTATTCAGGTTGTCAATTTAAATGTTAATCTATGAGAAATAATGCTGATTTCTGAAAAATGTTTGTTTGTGTTATTTATCCTTAATCAATACCAGCATTAATGTCAGTAATCAGACGTATTTAATTCTAATGAATTTAAACTTTTTTCAAAAATTGCTGTAATCAAGATCTATTGGTGTACACAAATTATGATCAGGGAAAAAAGTTCTTGCCAGACATTGAAAAGGTACTTCACAGCTGCCAGTTCATAAGTTTGTGCTGCGAAAGTTGTTGAAATTGAAATTCTGTTCACAAGTTATACGAAAAGGGCATTCCATAAGATTTTAGAATCAAGATGATGTTTGTTTATGAAAATAGTAATAATACAGTAAACCACACTTACCGGTATATAACAAGGTACCAGGGATGGTGTATCTGCTTCATTGTAAACATAATGTTTTATTGCTTAGTTCATAATACATTTCAAAGCTACAAGGAATGAAATTAGCCTTGCTGTAATAGTTAAATATAAACATTTTTGATGTAAGTGTGTTTTACTGTAAACTACATGAAATTGTTATTTATTAAGCATTGTAAAAATATTTTTAGCTCACCTGAGTGGAAGGCTCAAGTGAGCTTTTCTGATCACATTTTATCCATCGTCCGTCCATCTGTCTGTCCGTCTGTCTGTAAACTTTTCACATTTTCGACGTCTTCTCAAGAGCCACTGGGCTAATTTTGACCAAACTTGGTACAAAGCATCCTTGGTTGAAGGGGGGAATTTAACTTGTTAAAATGAAGGGCCAAGTCCCCTCACAAGGGGAGATAATCAAGAAAAGACAAAAATAGGGTGGGGTCATCAAAAAATCTTCTTCTCAAGAACCACTGGGCCAGAAAAGCTAAAACTTACGTGGAAGCATTCTGGGGTAGTGTAGATTCTAAATTGTTAAAATCATGACCCCCGGGGGTTGAGCATGGCCACAATGGGGAATCAAAGTTTTACATAGAAATATATGGGAAAAATCTTTAAAAATCTTCCTTTCAAGAACCACTGGGCCAGAAAAGCTGAAACTTATGTGGATGCACCCTGGGGTAGTGTAGATTTTAAATGTTAAAATCATGACACCCGGGGGTATGGTGGGCCACAATGGGGAATCAAAGTTTTACATAGAAATGAAGAGGAAAAATCTTTAAAAGTCTTCTTCTCAAGAACTACTGGGCCAGAAACTTGTGTGAAACTTATGTGGAAGCATCCTGTGGTAGTGTATATTTTAAATTGTCTACCTGGTAAATAATGATCAGTGGGGTATGGTGGGGTCACAATATGTATTACATGGGGGAAATCTGGTAAAGAACAGAATGGTCAAAGCTTCTCAGGTGAGCGATGTGGCCCATGGGCCTCTTGTTGAGTGAATTTTAATCATGTAGTTATTTAGATAAATTAAAACTTAGAATTTGACCTTGTTTGTTACAGAAAGTTGTTAGTGGTACATATCAATGTACAGGGGTGTTTGTAGTCTATAAACTGTAACTGTTTTTAGTTTAGTATAGTTTATAATTTTGTTATCAACCTTTAGATTAGATTTATTTGATTTAATTAAATTTTTTCATTGAAATAAACATGTATAAAAATGGTTTTCTAATGTATTTATAGTTATGATTTTTTTAATCATGTTACATGTAATTTGATAGTAATTTCTAGTTGGTGCATCCTTTGTACATTGTAATTGTAATAAGCTATACCTTTGTATATGACAGTTTGCTAGCTAAATTTTTGCTAAAATTCATGCACCAGTCCATATATTTCCATTGCTTACATTTAATATTAGGCTGTCTATTTAGCTGAAGTTTTTTTTTCTTGGTTTGTTTTGTTTTTGTATTGAGCTTCATTGCTATCTGTATTCTTTGCATTTACAATGTATCACCTTAGTACCAATATACTAATTCTATGCACTTGTATACGGGAGTTAATGTATTACTCTGCAGGTTTTTCCCTCTTACTTAGGTTAAGGATGTTTATTTGAACAGTAAGCAGGTGATTTTTTTTAATGTTTATAGTTTTTTATGAAAAAAAATTTGGCTTGTGTCAGATGGGATATTTATTTTTTTAATTTGTTAGTTCATATAATAATGAAAAATTTTTTTTTTTTGGGGGGGGGGGGGGGGGGGGGTACATGTATAGTATAAGGTACACTATACCTACTCTATTATCATGATAACTTTTTTTTTGTAAATTTGATACATGCACTAAATTCCTGTAAACCATTAGTCCCTCTGTTTGTGTGTGCATTAAAGGAGTCCCTTGAACAAATCCATATTTATCTGCTCCCTATAAATATCCATTCCTTCTCTCCAGACCATGAGTACCATATACACAAAGTCATGTATTGTGTCCTATGATCTGTAACAAATCTGTATGTTGACATGTATTTACAGAAAAGGAAAAGTAACCCTCCACAATTAATCTGTTAAGTTGCTAATAATGATAAATGTTTGTTTTTGTTTTCTGTGCTTGCATGGAATGAAGAAGTTTTAATTTTAACTTAATTAATTTGTTGGTGCTGGTTATGATTCCCTGTGTTTTGTATCCCACAAGTGAATATATTACATTATTTCATTGCTAGAAAATCTTCTTGTTCCAAACACATACCTTGTGTTTATAAGCACATCCTAAAACCTCAGAGTCAATTTTATATTCGCTGAATCAAGCTATAGTACAGTCAAGCATTGTTAACTTGAAGTTGATGGGAAGAAAAGCTAGATAGCTGAGGATTTGATAGATTAGGGGGGATTTGTAAGAATAAGTTGTTTGCATTTCCAAATCTATTTGACATATAAATATATACCCATGTTATTCAAGATATTGGTGTACCAGAAATCAGTATCTAATTCTTATGTTTTGATAAGTAATTAAAGCTAAACATGTTGAAAAATTAATCAAAAGACGATGGCCTTTGAAATCTATAAATAGGCCCCCTCATGGCTTTCATGGGTACCGTATATTGGGGTTTTTTTGGCGTGTGTAAAATTTGGCATTTTGCCTGCTCAAAGGTATGCCAATAATTTTGGCGTAATTTATTTTAGCAGACACAGAGTTTCAGCTCTTTGCAGATAAACACTAAAAAGAGTACTGACTATTTTAGTGATTAAAATTTTAGCGGGCTACCATCAAAACGTCAAAATAAGCCAAAATTAGCACCCCGCTAAAATAACCCACGATACGGTATCTTATATCTTATAATGAAAACTTGATTGATTAAATATTACTTTTCTGGAACTCAAGTGTACTTAAAAATGCATGGAATTGTAAAAATTACATAATTTATCATTTAAATTTTGTCTTAATTAAAAGCATTTGTAGAATAGAAATTTATAGGTTTAGGGTTTAGTACTTGCACGTTATAGTTGTTTTGTATCCCACAAGTGTTCTATATATTGCAATATTGTTTTTTAGCATAGCTAGTAATTGTTGAAAGAGACTGACTTAAGCTTGAAATATCTGTTTAAAATTTCTATGGTATGATTTAATACCACTGCTTCATGATCACATACAGTTCAGCCTGCCTCCAAGACCCGGTTATATCAGGCGTTTTTTTGTTGGTTCAACTTTTCTCAGATGGAAAAAAAATATATTTGATGTGGATTTTCTTTTTAACAAAAAAAAATTCTGTTTATAATTTTTGGAGAATATTTTCTTCCCACCTTAGCTACTATAAGTACGGATCTATTATTTTATCCAAGCGAGGACAAGCAAACATTTATAATTCGAAGGTTACTTGAAGCTGAAAATATTGTCAAGTGAAAAAGTGTTTGTCATGCATTCCTGAGTTTCAATCTTGTATTTTGTCTGAAAATTTAATCAAAATAGTTACATGTATATTGGTGAATGATGTTTCACTGAATTTATTCACCTTATGCCATTATGTACCAACTGAGTTGTTTAGTATATGTTATCCTATATTAAATTTTTTGTTAATTATAAATCCTGATTGTATTTCTGTTTATCTAGAAGATGAATGATATATATATTTAAAAAAATATATTTTTGGACAGATGACTTCATGGTAATTAACCGAGAATTGTGTATTGGTATACCTGGCCTTTTTAGTGAATGCCTAGGACAGATGATATTGCTTCTTTCTTTTCCTCTTGTATTTCTAGTTAATACTTTGCTATGATTTATACGTTTCCACATTTGTTATAAACATTGCAGCCTGTCTGGTCTAATTCTTCTGTGATAATTTTTCTACGCCACTTCTAGTGTTTTTGTTAATCATATATCTATTTTCTTATAAATCATATCTGTAATTATTTTTTATATAGATTGCTCTATATTTGTATAATTTTGATAGCTTAGCAATTATTGGCTTATTAATGGTTTTCTTACATTTATATCTAATACAGTTTGGAAAATGTGACAATTTAAATACACAATAAAGACAATATATGGCAATATGTTGATCATCAGTTTTGTGCCGTTTACAATCCTAGAACCATTTCAAGGCTTAGCTTAGTTTGGACTTTCAGTAAGGCGTGTCATTTTTTGAGCTACATTTTTACTGCCTGTCAAATGGCAAATAGATTCTCACTGCATGGTTAAGAAATCAATAATGTCATGAACTTTAAATTGTTGTTGACAAAGATGAGACAACTTAAGCCCCACCTCTTTAAGGAGGAGACAATGTAATTGGTTACTCAATTCACTAATTGGCATTTGCCCGAATTTCCATCCAATGCATATTTCAACAGTGAAGGAAAGTTGTGTAAATTTCAGAAGCTAATCATGTAACGTCAAGAATGCCACACTTACTGAAAGTCCAAACTAAACTGAAAATGGTCCTAATATTAGAAAACTTTTTAACAGAGCACCACACACTTTACCATTAGCTGCAGGTTTGACAAGTCTTACTGACATCTAACAAAATCTCTGGGATGAGTATTTTGACTAATCATTTACATATTGACAGACCCTTTTAATACTTCTGAATCAAGTTTTCAAAAAAGTCTTCTTTAACCAGTTTGCTAAAAGGGAGTCAAACCCAGATTTTGTTTTGGTAACAAAAATAAGACAGACATAAATGAAACTGACGTGCAGGACTCGCACAATTATACTAACTAAACAAAAATAAATTTATCTGTATGATGGGACACCAATTAAAGAGCACAAAGCAATCTGCCTTACAACCATGGAATATTGTGTGAATCTCCGCTGCCACTGCCAGAATGAGGATAAAAACAACACGTCAGACTTTAAATATTTTAATAGAAATTTGTTCTGATAACACTGAAGATGATGATGTTTTGTGGAGTGTTGTATAAAAATATATCACAGACACGGAAAGATGGAGCTGATGTATACATATTTCAAAGGAATTCATTTTGAAAGAAATTGCAATAATCAGGACATGAGCTTGAATAATGTTTAGAAGTAACTCTTTCTGAAAAAAAGACTTGTGATAAAAAGGACATCTACTTAATAGTTATAGTCATGTACAGCTGAACACAGATAATTAAATGTAGACATGAACTTCTGGTTTGTATATGTACACAGTTTACGAGGGAGTCCTCAGACAGATATACTTCCCTCTCGGAAGTTTGTCTTCCCGATGAGAACGTTGACTAGGACGCTGTTTCCTTCTTTGTTCCGTTTTATTGTCTCCGTTAGGACCTCGCGAATCTTGTCCTCATTACTCCTGTCCAGCCTCAGTCCCATACCACCATAACCAATAGCAACCTTCTCATAGTCAGTGAACTAAAAATAAACACAAAATATTTTATTAATAAATTTAATGACAATTTTCACACCCTGTAGTGATCTTTACTGGAATATTTTTCTGGGGGGTGTATGATGGGGATGAGTGCAGAGAAGGTATAATTAAGAGACTGAGTAGATAACAATAACTTCCTTAATGCATTGCCAATACCATTTTAAATCAATCTGCTTCATTCCTTATTTTTAAAACTTAGCCTTATGATGGAATTTCAGACATTCACTTGAAAGGGAAAAACCTAGAAATGAGCTGGCCACAATGTTTATACCTGTTACTCTGACAGATGTTTGATTATGATCTCTTTTACTTGGAGCAAATTTACAGACCACACTACTATGGTCTCTTTTACTTCCTGCTAATTTACAGTCCACACTGCTATGGTCTTGTTTTCTTGTTTACTTCCTGCTAATTTACAGTCCACACTGCTATGATCTTGTTTACTTCCTGCTAATTTACAGGCCACACTGCTATGGTATGAATTACTTACTGCTAATTTACAGGCTACACTGCTACCAAACATAGGGACTTGTTCTCTCTCAATCTGTGTCCATCCAGCATCATTACCCACCAAAGCCATCACAGGTATCTATTATGTAGGTAAACAGTCAAGGTGTAAGTTGCTATAATTAGCATAATATAACCATTAAATAAGATACAAACAATATATAACCAAACAGAGTAAATCCATCTGCATGTATATTGCAATGTTGTTCATTCATTATTGAAGAATTATGTCATCAAAATTAATATCTATTCAATTTTTTTTAAAAAATGAAAAACATTGATATTTCATTGTTATTATCAAAATCTACACATACTAGTAATACAAGTACTTAAACATGTTAAATGAGATTTACTAAAAAGTGTATGTAAAATAAGTCTAAAATTTGTAAATCAAACCTTGTGTCTGGTGAAGGTATCAAACTCTGCAATGCTGTAACCAAGGGAGCCGTCACCATAGATAATCCACACGTCAGAGTCGGGGCGACACAGCTTAGCCCCCAGGGCGAATCCTCCCCCAACCCCCAGGGTACCAAAGGCTCCAGGGTCCAACCAGTGAAGGGGGGCCCGGGGCCTGGTGAGAGACAACATAAACTCAGTTAAAAGATGTTATACACATATTGAAAAACAAAGGAGGCAATGAACATTTTAGCACAAATGTTAATTTATATACATGTACATGTATTTATTGGTTAAATCATTTTGAGTATATTTTATTGAATTGTTCCAAGAAAGATTATGAAATTTATACAAAGGAGAATATTAAAATTATAACCTTATTATAAATCACATACAGTTAGTTTTCAAACAAACTACTTTATTCTATACAAGCAATAAGTACAAACAATCTTTAAGTTTATATCTGATATTTTTATTGTCTACTTTTTTTGAAGTGCATTTACACTCAAAATCACTGCCACCTGTACACTAATTTCTTGTGGCCCCACATCCAACAATTTAATTGTGGAAAGTGGGGTCACAAAATCACCACCAGCTGTAAACTAACCTGAGAATGTATGCAACTGTTGCCACAAAATCCCTATTATAGCTGTAAACTTACCTGAGAATGTATGCAGTGGTCGCCACAAAATCACAAACACCTGTAAACTTACCTGAGGATGTATGCAGCGGTTGCCACAAAATCGCCCCCGTCTGCCACCATCACTGTATCATCAGACATTACTTCCTCCGCAATGTGTAAAACCTTCAGGGGATTCAGATGCTGATCCGTTTTCTCATCAGCCTTCAGTCTATAAAAGAATGGGATTACTAATAGTTTAAGCATGAGACAAAATCACTGTCAGTATATTAATTAATTGTAAAGTTGAAAATTAAGCAATAAGGTTGTAAATGTGGTATACAAAATGCTTAGTATGTACTTCATACTTTTCTCATGACCATGATGACTAAACATAGATGAAAGTATTACGGCCTGTATAACTGTAAATTAAAAATTCCTGCCTTTATATATGTTTGATTGTAAACTTAAAAATTTTTCAAGACCAGATTCAAAACCATTTTAAAATTAGTTCAATGTCATAATTATAATTCATTCTAAACAATATGATCACTGAATTTTGCTGATCTGAGTCCTGATGATATTAAGTGCTAAGTGTCTGATAGTGTCACCTCTAACTTGACCTTGACCTTACCTATTGGCCTTCTCCTTTTCTTCATCTTTGTCCTTGAGTTTCTGTATCCAGTCAGGGTCACACTTGTATCCCTTCAGTCCCTGGGAGATTTGGACAATAAAGCTGGCTACATCTCCCTCTATAGCTACAGTAGGCTTCCAAAACATGTCTGAATTCTATACAGAAATTATAAACTTCATCTTATCTATACCAACAGTCGGCTTCCAAAACATGTCTAAATTCTAGACAGATCTTACAATCAGCTTATCTATAGCTACAGTAGGCTAGCTTCCAAAACATGTCTAAATTATAGACAAAAATTACAATCAGCTTATCTATAGCTACAGTAGGATTCCAAAACATATCTAAATTCTAGACAGAAGAATATGTCTGAATTCTAGACAAAAATTATAAACATCAGTTTATCTACAGCTACAGTAGGCTTCCAAAACATGTCTGAATTTTAGACAGAAATTACATACTTCAGCATGAAAGAGACAATAATTATTAAAGCTTTAAAAAATAGCAATACCCTAGCTGACAAAAGGATGTACTGTAATTCATTATGAACAAAGCTGAGTACAGGCACTGATTATCAAAGTTGAGGTGGGAGAAACTTTTCTGACAAGAAAATTTTTAGACAGTAATAACATGAGCAAGTGGTTACTGTAAACGTGGTTATATTGACGACTTGAAAAATTGATGATTTTTAGTTTACGAAAATTGATGAGTGTTAATTTTGATGAAATACCGAATCAAGAGTTATGCATCTTTAAATTCACGAAGTAAAAAAAGGAATTCCACAGTTAGAGTTAGACCACCTACAGTGTGTAAGATTGTACAAACCCTATGTGTGTGAAAGATTTGACTACATAAATTACCCTTTTTGTATTTTGTTTTCATTAAAAGAGATCAATTGTCCGAGGTAACTTGGTCAAGCAAGGTGTGATAATTACACTATATTACGCATGCAAGTATTTGATACACTAGCTTAGATTCAATGATTTTTAAAAAGTGTGATTATATATCATTATGTTTTCATAACTAATTACAAAGGAAATTAACAGTAAATTTGGTCTAGTTTTAATAGAGGAAAGCCGAGAAAATTAAGGGGTAAAGTTGTAGAATAGTCAGTGTTTGTTGTGACGCTATATATATAATATGATGTGAAGTTTGCCGAGTGTAAATTTTGACGAGAAAAGAAAAATCGTCAATATACTGTAAATGTATTACATTTGGCGGTGTATTCTTTTTAGCGCTTTTGGCGAAAAGATACTTCCGCTAATTCAAGTACATTGCTAAATGTCTTAAACATTGATACATGAATAAGAACATCAAGAAATGTGCTAAATCAAATCTACACTAACTTGTTTAAAAATCATTTTCCGCTAAATATTGTACACGCTAAATATAGTACATTTACAGTAGTCAAAATTAGCACATCGTCAAAATTTCCACATTTACAGTATTCTCAGAAAAAAAGTGTCCTTTAAGTATGTCTAACGTGAGTAATTTTCAAATTAAGTACTACAATTGAGCTGATTTTGACAATTTTGCTGCAAAGGCAGCTAAGATTCCCCCATTATTTGTCTCTGTTTACCTTATACAGCTGCTCCTTGCTGCGGTTAATGGTGATAATTTTAGAACGTCTGTTGAGGACACGCCCATATCCGAGTCGGAAGTCTGCAACTGCCCCTAACAAACAAAACATTAAAATCTATCATGTACAAGCAGACATTACCAAAATTTACCTTTAGTATGGAGAGTCATTAGCTGTCATCCTAAGCTCTCCCATTAACAGCTTTATAAACTATGGAGCACCGTACCTGCCATAATGACAAGATCTGACAGTATGGAGAGTCATTAGCTGTCATCCTAAGCTCTCCACCTAACAGCTTAATTATAATTTATGGCACACCTTACCTGCCATGATGACAAGATCCGCCTCTTTGAGTGCCTCCCCTCTTTTCTGGCGGGCCTGGATCGGGCTGTACCTCCCCAGCAGTCCTCGGGCCATCCCCCCGAGGAAACAAGGGATCCCCATGTCCTGTAAAGGTTAGGTACATTATACAGGTGTGTAAATATCTATAGGACAAGTACATACAGTCAAGGTGTGTAAAGATTTGATATCTCTCAGAGCTTTTCTAAAAGTTTGGATAAATCTAACATCTGCACCTCTGTTTATTATCTTTTAGACATTTTTCTAGCATCAATATAAAAAGCCTTGGGTACATGTTTCTGGTCAGGATGACCCATATTCTTTCACTTTTAAAACTCTTGGTTTAATTGCCTCCATTCTATCTCTCCCAAAATTTTCTTTGGTCTGGATGACCTTTATCTTCTTACCTGACAGAACTTTTCTACAGAGTAAACCGGGTACCCCCTTACCTCCAGGGCCTTTCTAAGTTGATCTACAGGTACGAGAGGGGGGTACCCCCTTACCTCCAAGGCCTTTCTGAGTTGATCTACAGGTACGAGAGGGGGGTATCCCCTTACCTCCAGGGCCTTTCTGAGTTAATCTACAGGTATGGGAGGGGGGTATCCCCTTAACTCCAGGGCCTTTCTGAGTTAATCTACAGGTATGGGAGGGAGGGTACTCCCTTACCTCCAGGGCCTTTCTGAGTTGATCTACAGGTATGGGAGGGAGGGTGGCCTTACCTCCAGGGCCTTTCTGAGTTGATCTACAGGTATGGGAGGGAGGGTTGCCTGACTTCCCACCAGAACCACTGGTCTTTTTGCCTTGGTGATCAGTTCTATGCTCTTCTGAACTAAAATCAACAGAAAGGGCTGTAACAGACAAAGCCTCACAGAGAGATTGACAGGGTCTGTCTTTATGTCTGTCTGTCTGTCAAGTGAGTGTCGACAAATTAAAATTTAGTCAGAACTTGGGAATTATTTAAGACATACATTATTTTGTACTCTATTACTGGTTAAGATTATTTTCTACTAGGATTAAATTCATAGTTCCAGAACAAAAAAATGTTTGTTTTCGCAAGAATTTTACCCAGAACTTGGGAAATTATTTGAGACATACTTCATAACTAGTTAAGATTATTTTTATTTGGAATGAGTTCATAGTTACAGAAGTAATAAAAATTTGATATAGCAAGAATAAATCACTATAGGAGCTTTCGAGTTTATAACCACATCTTGCTTTTAACTACAAAAAATGTTCTTAAATGATCATTTATTGTTCTTAAGGAAATACTACAACATTACTCCATTTTTATTTCACTGAAGAAAAAATTGCTATATGTGATTAAAAACAGTGACCCCATCTGACCTTGAGAGGGTGTGGCTTTCTGCTGATTGACAGGTATAGGTGACATGTCACGGGGTTCAAATGCACCAGCAAACAGATTGTTAAGGTGGTTCATCAGATACCTAGATACAATATCAGAAAAAATAAAGGGGGTCCCTGATAAGGAATCCTCAATGAGTAAAAGTACATCACTTTTTGTTCTCAGAACCTTTAGATTATTATGGTTATGTTTTTTCTTTTTAAAAAAATTCACAAAATTCTGATAAATTTTTTAAGTATTGTCTTATACCCAATATTTTTCAATTTTTGAGAAAAGAGATAAAATCTAACGACTGAGGTAATAATTCCTTTCCTCATTATTTATTAGTCTATTAAAAGCTCATATATAACCAAGGTAATACATACAAATTATTAATTAATTACCAGTTGATTACCCTCTGGATTAGGCTTACAGGTCCCTTCTCTTTCGTTCCAATCTCCCGTCTAACTGTTTCATAAGGATAAAGTGTGTCGATGGGGAACTCAACAAACACTGGACCTGCAAACAGGGAAAAGTTTATATCAAATGTTTAATATTTCTGTTTATTGTAATAATTCTGTTTATCTGATAATATTTCTGGTTATTGTAATAATTCTGTTATGAATTGTTTCTGTTTATTGTAATAATTCTGTTAATCTGATAATATTTCTGGTTATTGTAATAATTCTGTTATGAATTGTTTCTGTTTATTGTAATAATTCTGTTAATCTGATAATATTTCTGGTTATTGTAATAATTCTGTTATGAATTGTTTCTGTTTATTGTAATAATTCTGTTAATCTGATAATACCTGGGGTCCCAGACTGTGCCTCGTGTAGAGCTTTCTTCAGTGTGGGTACGATGTCTCTGATCTTTGTTACTGAGGCGCAGTATTTACACAAAGGTTTGAACAGCGACATCTGGTCTATATCCTGGAGTGCTCCTCTACCCTGTAACATTAAAATTACCCTCTACCCTGTAACATTAAAATTACCCTCTACCCTGTAACATTAAAATTACCCTCTACCCTGTAACATTAAAATTACCCTCTACCCTGTAACATTAAAATTACCCTCTACCCTGTAACATTAAAATTACTTTCTACCACAATTATGCCCATATGTACCCTGTAACATTAAAAGGGACCCTCTACCCTGTTTTCATTTAAAATACCTATATGTAACATTAAAATTACCCTCTACCCTGTAACATTAAAATTACCCTCTACCCTGTAACATTAAAATTACTAATATACATTAAAATTATATGGAAATTAAAAGGTAATGATAAATTAAAATTACAAAATATACTGTAACATTAAAAACCATTCTGTAACAGGAAATGAATGTTGTAACATTAAAATTACCCTCTAAGAGAGATTGATTATTTGTTAATTTTAATTCAATTTAAATATTTTCATTATGAATAATCATCATAGCATTGGACAACAGGTATTGCCTATATACATGTAATTCCTTTCCACAATCCACTGATCGAATGTTGTTACGAGAGAGGTCTTCATATTTCTAAGTAAAATATATTATTTCTTGTCACCATCTGCTGAAGACTACAGGACAAAGTCCACTGGGTATTTCTATACAGCACATGAGAATACAAACATAGTAACATAAGAACATGAATCTGTTCACTTTCAAACTTTTGAGATACATGTATGGATATGTAGACGAAGGTAAGGATAAATAAATGTACAATATATACTGACTAAGCCTTGATACCTTTCTACAGCAGGAAACAAATGTGTTAGTCAGACCTGCAGGAATCAATGTCATTATAATTGAATCACATTTAAATTCCAATTTAAATATTTTAATTTGAATTTGATTATTTGAATAATCATCATAGCATTGGATGTCAGGTAATGGTGCTGAAATCTATGTAATTCCTTTCAACCTTCCACTGCAATAAAATTGTGTGTTGCTTTACGAGAGAGGAATTGCCATTTCACGTAAAATATATCATTATTTCTTGTCACCTCTGCTGAAAAATAAAGACTGGGTATCATACAGCACATTGAAATAACATATAATATAAGAACCTGAAACTATTATTGACAAATGAGTGTAGCTGCAGCGAATATATAAAACCGGTACTGTCAGCAATGTGTCATTAGAGACAGTGACAGTGTTAGTCAAACGTAGGAAGCAATGTCATTATATTTCACTCCACAGCTTATAATTATTAGTCTAACAAATATACCTGTCTTTGTTACAGGTAAATTAAACACAGTCATATTTATTTCCTCTCTGACTTGACAGCAAGGACCCTTTATCTTCATTACACACTTAATAATTCATTTCCTCCTGATCATGAAGTCAAAAATTTGGAGAAAATGAAACACATCAAGTTAAATAAAAATAAATTCCTATTAAACAGGCCTACTTTTTCAATAAAGATACTTTTTGATATCACTTTTTACCTACCCTTGCAATGAATAAATATATACAGAGTTTAGTTTGATATCACTTATTTACTTGGTCCAGTAGTGATTTTATATACACATTTTACTTGGATGTCTTCATTTACCTGGTCCAGCGGTGATGGCTGCTATACTGTAATACAGTTAAGTTTATGTTATTTACCTGGTCCTGCAGTGACTGCTGCTATACAGTTTAGTTGATGTTATTTACCTGGTCCAGCAGTAACAGCTGCTATACAGTTTAGTTGATGTTATTTACCTGGTCCAGCGGTGACGGCTGCTATACAGTTTAGTTGATGTTATTTACCTGGTCCAGCGGTGACGGCTGCTATACAGTTTAGTTGATGTTAATATATTTACCTGGTCCAGCGGTGACAGCTGCTACACCTATGGTCCCAGACATTCTGGCTACAGCATCTGCCGCAAAAACTGTAGTCACCTGACAACAATACAATAGAAATTCAGAATAATTTTATTAACGAAAACTTTAAATCAATTTCAATCTTATTTGTACTGAATGTAAATAAATTATTCAAAACAATAAATGATGCCTTTAGTAACTTATTATAATAATTACAGAATGTTGTTTAAAGTTTTAAAAGGCCAATTAATCAACTGTTTCATGGAAAATGATGCAGTGATTTATGTTCAGTTTTATTCAAGACATATAATATTATATCAAAGGACATATTTCTATGATCATGATGGAAGTGATTGATATTTAATATTTACATTTGTTGTGTTTTCTACCAATGCAACTGTGAAATTAATTTGAATACTGTTTTCGTGTACCGGATATACTCCGGTTTAAAAATATGCATGGAAAAACTCATGCTAAAGTGGCATCAAAATGAGGCTACAGAGGTTGTGATAAAAATGCAATGATATAGCACACCGAGAAATTCAAATATTGAGTGTATTTTTGGTGCTTTTACAATTATAAATATAAGGAATGCTTTTTAGTGTGAATTATTGTTCTGTAAATCACAAAGACTTAGCTTGTATGAATGTATATATTTTTCATGTAGACCCGGCTAGAGTTCTACTGCTACTCAAAATGTTCCCTTCATTATAAGGATTGTTTGGTATGTAGTGGACATTTCTCATAGTTATTGGCACAACTTCACTGAATTCGGGTGTTAAAAGATCATACCTCATGTCTTGTGTCTACAACTCGTATTCCCAGCTTCTCACACGCTACAAGTATCGGGGAGATATGTCCTCCTACGAGTGTAAACACGTACTTTACTCCATGTGCCTACAAACCAAATAAAACAATGTATAATTCTGACATCTTATATTGTTATTGTGACAACGGATCGACAGAATGCAGATTTCAAAAAGAACTGAAACTTACGAGGGTTGTTCGATATGTATTGTGTATTGTAGGATATCTCAAAAGCATTCGATTCAAATAGTCAAATGGACATTACATCCCTTCAACGTATTCTCCGTGATTTGAAATTTTAATCTCTGAATCCATTTCTGAAATGCGTCACGGTACGCTGATTTAGGTATACCTCTAAGGCACTGACTGACGGCTGCGCCAAGGGCCTGTCGTGACTTGTATCAACGACCAGATAAGAACTTTTTAAGTTTTAGAAAAAGGAAAAAGTCGCATGGTGCTAGATCCGGAGAGTATGGTGGGTGTGGCAAGACGGTAACCTTCTCAGACTTCAAAAATTGCTTCACAAGCTCAGATGTATGTGATGGAGCATTATCATGAAGAAGGCGAACAGGCCTAAATCCCGACACAGGACATTGTTTCTGATAATATTTCTTGAGCTTTTTCAGAACAACATCTCGGTAATACCGACCTGTAACACTTTTGCCCTTCGGCATCGGAATTTGTACGGCTAAACCATCACAAGAGAAGAATATGCAATAAAGGACCTTCTTTGTGCTCATTGTCCTTTTGGCAACTACAGGCCTTCTACCGTGTTTGGTTTGCCATAATTTGTTTCCAACTTTTCTTACTGGTTCGAAATAGTGAACCCATCATGGCCATGTTTCGTCACCAGTAACTATGTTTGCAAATTGTCTTTGATTGAAGTTTGGAAACATTTTTTTCGCTTAGCGGTTTGTATTCGTACCTTTTTTTGATCATCTGTCAATATATGGGGTATCCATCTGGCAGAAATCTTTTGTACTTTCAAAATACGCTTCAAAATGAAATGCACCCGCGATAGCGATATGTATGGCACGCCAAATTCACAAAAATGAGCAAAACATGGTTTCACAGTCGATAAACTAGGTTTATCGGTTGTAAACTATAGTTTACGGACTGTAAACTATAGTTAACGATGTTAATCTATATTTCACATCTGTAAACCATAGTGAACGCGATAATCTATGTTTCACAACCGCAAACTATACTTAACACCGAAATCAATCATTTGCAATTGCAAAACATAGATTATCTGATAAATTCAGTTTCACGATTTGTAAACTATAGTTTACAAACCGTTAACTATAGTTAACGATCTGATAAATATAGTTTCACGATTTGCGAAACTATGATTAACAACTCTTAACTATAGTTTACGATTGTAAACTATAGTTTACAAACGTGAATCTATGTTTATCAACAAAATCTATTGTTAACGCTTATTACAGACAGATAAACTTAGATTATCATTCGTAAACTATAGTTAACAACCGTTAAATATAGTTTTACAGATGAAAACTATACTTAACGAATCATTAACTATAGTTTACGGTATGTAAACTATAGTTTACAGTCGATAAACCTAGTTTATCAATTGTGAAACTATATAGGTTTAGATCATTTTTGTGAATTTGGCATGCCATAGATATGCCAACAGCTTTGGCAATATCACGAATCGTGTACCTGCCATCACTTTCAATTAATTTCCTTGACTTTTGAGACATTTGTCTTGCCTGATACAGTCACAGTTCGACCCGATTTTGCTGCATCTTTGATGGACTCTGTGCCAGTCAGAAATTTCTGTCTCCACCTACGAACTGTCTCATAAGATACCTTATCAGACCCATAAATTTCCCCAATTCAGTAAAAATCTGCTTTACCGAATTACCGAGTTTTGTGCGAACTTTTATATAAGCTCTAATTTCTTCAATATTCTCAACCCTTTTCCCAACCATTTTTACAACAGTGGTCAACGACTGGCTCTATTGAAATGACGATTATTTTATAACCATGTGTAGATAAAGGCTCGTGTTTATACTGTTGGCAAGGTATTGAATACAGTTATCCAAGCGTATAAATATCGACGAAATCGTGCAAGGCGTTATCGCGCTGTGGTACATTACACAATACATATCGAACAACCCTCGTAATCTGACCGTGACCACAGCAGCATGCAGAACCTTATATCATTGATTCTAGTTGTGAGTAAGCTATTTTCACTCAGTCTATTGATTTGTCCTTTAGAGAATTATGATGTCCATTTTGCTTTTTGAAACAATCATATTTTTTAAATTTATACCATGAATTGGTCCATTTATCGTAGAATGACTGACCTTAAGGACATCAGCCACAATGTCGCCACCATTTCTCTTCGTTTTGCTGTCAACCTGTGAAAGCATTAATGAATGTTACAATTTTGAAAAGTTAATTTTGTTTCAGCTGAGTTCAGTTAATATTTATCATGTTTATTATACAACTCAAAGTTTATTAAATTTATACACAGGTCTATGAAAATCTAACATGTCTAACAAAAGACTTATTACCAGAGCTACTAACAGCCCCTCAGAAACAAGTTTCTGTTATGCTGATGTCATATGAAAATACAACTTGGTACAATGCTTGACCAGAAACAGAGAAATGTATCGAGCCCATTCGAGGATATATTGTAAGCCCTGATGTTACCTTGTGAAATAGCTGATAAATTATTCCGAACTTCCTCAGGAAGTACACGGTGCCTAGAGCTGCTGCAGATAACCCAACAGGAATGGCCAGATTTCTGAACAATTTCTGCAAACTCTCATTGTGTGACGCTGCCATCGTTTGACGTTGTGATGTCCCAGTGGACTTTGGGTCGGCTTCTGCCACCTACTTTCACTTTCATTTCACAGTGTGAAACGAAATTCTTGTTGCATACCTACAATGAAGTCTTCTTGAAATACTATTGGCTAAAAATTAAAGTAATAAATATATCTTTAATAATTAAAAATGCTGATTTATATCTGTGAATTCAAATAAAGATGATTTTTTTGGTTTATTGAATATGATGTAAGCGACCATTGTAATCATTTTGCTGTTTCCGGTTAGCACTCTGACGTGTATGCCCTCAGTCAAAGTAGATCTAACATGAGTTGATGAGTATGACTGATTAACTGGTCGTCTACTTTGGTAAGGTTTTTAACGTTGACTATAGTAGTATACATTATCGAAATAACAAATTCTAGGTTGAACTCGATATTGAAATTAACACACGATTAAGTGATTAACCACAGGCACCTGAAGTATGGATAATACCCCCCTTTCTTTTAATGAAAAAAAAATGTAAGAGTGTATAATACCTCGAAAATATAAAATTTCCCCGTCAAACACATCTATATGTCGTTATGTGCAAGCAGATTGTACTTTTTCTCACGTTTAAAGAATGGCCCTATTCGGTATAATAAAAATACACAAGGTAAGAAACAAAAGTTGTAAACAAATGGGGGACCCCTGCTTCGAGACAGATTAACAAGGTAATAATTAGTGATACCTATCATAATTTTGCAAACACTCTGTCTGGGAGATGTTCTTTTACTAGTCTCTTTAACCTAAACCCCGCTATTAGCGTTTGATATGCCGTAATCGGACGATTTATTAATCGGATACATAAAATTTTCTCCATTGGCAGCGTTGGAGGAGGTTTTGGAGCTGCTTTTCTGTTTTGCCTTATCTGATTGGTTAGATATTTAAACTGTATTACAATTAACCGATTAATAAATCGTCCGATTACGGCATATCAAACGCTAATAGCGGGGTTTAGGTTAAAGAGACTAGTAAAAGAACAAACAGAGTGTTTGCAAAATTATGATAGGTATCACTAATTATTACCTTGTTAATCTGCCACCGTTTGTTTACAACTTTTGTTTCTTACCTTGTGTATTTTTATTATCATAGGGCCATTCTTTAAACGTGATAAAAAGTACAATCTGCTTGCACATAACGACATAGAGATGTGTTTGACGGGGAAATTTTATATATTTTCGAGGTATTATACACTCTTACAAAATTAAAAGAAGGGGGGGGGGGGTAACTTAGGTGCCTGTGGATTAACTAGATCTAAATTGATAAATATAAACATTTTGAATATTTTGATAACTCTGATGCGTACTCGCCCGTCTCATGATATGTATTTATTCTACTTAAAATAGGCTTAAAATAATTATCCAACCCATTTACAGACGTCATTTATGAACTTAAATATTGTCACAATATACCTTATAGGTTGTCATATGAATATGGAGATGCTATTGAATGTGGTATTATTTGAGACAAGTGCTGGAATGAGACTTTAATGGTCCTGTGATTTATCTGAGGACGTACGAACTTCAGGATGATGCAGGAGGAGGATGACGAAGGGGGGACGTACGATCACACGTCCCTCCTGGATCTACGGAAACGGAAAAGTCCGACATCCATGTGGTGCTGCAGCTTTGTCAAGACAATTTGTCTGTCCTTCACATTTCTGACTTTGGTATGATTAAAATTTAAACTATCAGACCAAATCTCTGTGTCTTATTCAGGTTATTGCATATTTGAAATCTGTCATAAACTCAAAGATATGAGAAATCAGAATGAATATCTATATATGAATCGATCTGTAAAAATATATGTAAGAAAATGCTTGCAAAATAATTTTGAATTGTCAGTAAGTGCTACAATATATATGTAGTATTGTAGAACTCTGACAAGGCTCATCAATATTCAGTGCATACTTTGTCACATGGTACATCAGATATGAATGTTTGTCATAAGTACTGTAGATCACTTAATTTTCGCGACACCTTGTTTTCGTGAGATAGCCATTGACTCTTTATTAGCGAGACAAAATTTTCACGAATGGTGGTCATTGCTCTGTATAATCTAAAGGATTTTCTATTATACGCGAGAATGAAATTTTCGCGAGCATACCGTCTGCGTAATGAAGTTCTCGCGAATAAAAAGTGATTTACAGTATACCTAGACTATTGTTTTTATGGAATACATATAGAACATCATAATTGACAAGCAGTCAATGTAAAATCATTGAGAATGTTTTATTGAAGTTCATTTTACCATGATAAAATCAACATTAACTATGTAATTCACTATCACTGTGTCTATTTTTATTACAGGGTATATATATGTATCGCAATCCCCGGGCCGACCTTTATTGACCTGGGGCCTGTTTCACAAATGTTTCCTAAGATGTGTCGTAAGACAAAACTTAAGATATGCCTAAGTTATAACTTAGAAAGTTCCTAGGATTTGTCACAGCTGTTTCACGAAACAATCTTATATTATGCTTCCTAAGTCATTTCTTAAGTTGTACCCTTATAAGGAGTAATGAAATAACTTCTCCACTCTATGTACAACTCTCAGTTTGTCATTATGGGTTATATTTTTAGCTTCAAAAAGGAGGGGCGGGAGAATTGGGAATTACCCCGACTTTCAAAGGACTTGGACAGAAGTGTGTTTTAACTTTGTGAAGTTTGCTGGTAGAAGTAAGCATTAAAAGACACACCCTTTCAAGCCCTTTTCAAGCTCTCTTCCCTTACGGGCACACGATATTTGTATTATCTTAAACATCATTCTACGTGTTCTACATTTACTTTATTTTGTTCTTTATAAGGTATTGATCCAATGCAGGTATTGTTTTTTTTTACTATACTTTTCTAATTGTCAATTATTAAATGAAAATCAAAAATGATTGCTTCGTAGCGAATACTTGTGAGGGCGTTTTTAAAAAATCTTTGTCAATGAGTACTCCACGTTAGTTGTTCGTGATGTGTCAAGCTTTCTCACACATATAAAATAAGAATGTCATGCACGGGAAGGGGGGGGGGGGGTGGGTAATAATAATTTAACCAATGTATAGAATACCATGGAAAACAAAACTCTGTTATGTTTGTGTCCCCTCAATAATAACGTCCTAGAAGAAATAAGATGCAATCATTCTTGGGAGAGACGTCTATATACCCGGGGCTTGGTTGGGGGTTCATTTAGAATCATGTATTTATCGAAAGTGAACACGAGTGTTTCCATTTATTTGAAATATCATTTTCAAATTCTAATTTAATATCGATTAAAATACTAGTAATAAATAAATAGATATACATGTAGATAAAAATATAATGTATACATGCATGTATAATAATGGATCAAATTATGTGCTTTTTTTGTTTTGTTTACAAAGGCGTGCTCTTTAAATGATGGTACATTCCAGCATGTAAACCATCGACTTCGCCAGTTTTGTGAACGGACATTTTTATATACCTTGACTGTAATTTTAACATGTTTGCCAGTTACTGAAATCCTACTAATTCCATGCAAAGTAAAACAGTTTTAACCTGGAGAAAACACAATCATCCATATTCTGGTAGTTCATTGGATTTTCTTTCCCTAAACACTTTCTCTGTCTCCATAAGAAATGGATATGCATGCAATATAGTTAATTCACTCATCAATTTACCTGTGTGTCATAATTAGGAATTTAAGACAAGGGTAGTATATATGTATCGCAATCCCTATGATAGGTCCTAAGAAGGCTTTGTGAAACACCTGATGGTTCTATTTAATTCACTATCACTGTGTGTATTTTTATTACAGGGTCTATGTATCGCGATCCCTGGGCCACCCTTATCGACCTGAAGGAGAGAATCAACACAGACACGACTCACATGGCGCTGATTTTCACAGCACGCTCCATCGGTTATCTGTTAGGGTCACTGATCGGGGGTTTTCTGTTTGACCACTTTGACAAACAGCTGTTGTTGATGGTGACTTTGATCGTGGCCGCATTGGCCACTAGTATCATCCCCTGGTCACTCACGCTGACCGTTCTAACAGTGATGATGTCATTACAGGGATGCTCCATGGGAGTTTTGGATACAGGTAGAACGTCTTTTGAAGTCAGTTAATTTTTAACCATTAGGGCTATTTTTTTAAAAATATAATTTAAGATTTTTAGTTTGACATGGTACATGTATATGCTTAAAAAATGACTGGAAAATTTTGGGCCTGATGCATTTTTTTGCAAATGACTTTAAACTGCAAAAAAATTTAATGCATCATGTCTCTGATCTGATTATTCTTGAATATTCCCGCCATTTCTTACTTGTAATCAGTGGGCAAATTCAAAATGAGACAAATGTTTTTAAAAAAAAGTTATTTCACTTTAAACACTTATGTCATGTCCACAGGCAAATATATGACTTGTCAAATTTGTTTACAAGTTTCCCAGGACCAATAACCCTGACTGTATACATTGTGTAGAATAGTTTTTTTATTTTGTTCATTGAACATTTTAGGTATTTATTGACCCATTTTTCATCTTTTTTTCAGGAGGCAATGCATTCTGTGTCAGGATCTGGGGTAAGAGGAGCCCTCCCTACATTCAGGCCATGCACTTTGCCTTTGGAGTGGGAGCTTTCATTGCTCCCTTACTTTCTCAGCCATTCTTGTCCAACAGCATTCAGAATGTCGGAAAGCTTAACCCTGTGAATGATGACTCCTTTACTAAGTTTCTCATAGAGAACACAAATCATTCTCGGGTTGGAAGAGATGTAAATGAAACGATTCCACAGATTGATGTTACGGACATGTTACATTTATACACAAAGGATGTGTCCATGACAACAACTTCAGTTGTGACCCCCACTCCTACTACCATTCCTGTCCCAAAGAAACCAACACACATTGACTCCACCACAGACGACAAGAGTAAGGCAGACGGTACTCAGTTTTTAACACATATTAAAAAACCTCCAGAAAATCAAAAGGAGAAAAATCCAGAGATCAAGGACATCCATAAAGTTACTCCTACTCCAGGCACGCCGGGCATTAATGGTACAAAGTCCACACAGACTCCAGCAACAAAC